CATCCCATCCCATCCCATCCCATCCCATCCCATCCCTTCCCATCCCATCCCATCCCATCCCATCCCATCCCATCCCATCCCATCCCATCCCATCCCATCCCATCCATCCCATCCCATCCCATCCCATCCCATCCCATCCCATCCCATCCCATCCCATCCCATCCCATCCCATCCCATCCCATCCCATCCCATCCCATCCCATCCCATCCCATCCCATCCCATCCCATCCCATCCCATCCCATCCCATCCCATCCCATCCCATCCCATCCCATCCCGATCATCCCATCCCATCCAATCCCATCCCATCCCATCCCATCCCATCCCATATCCCATCCCTCATCCATCCCATCCATCCCATCCCATCCCATCCCATCCCATTACCCATCCCATCATCCCATCCCATCCCATCCCATCCCATCCCATCCCATCCCATCCCATCCCATCCCATCCCATCCATCCATCCCATCCCATCCCATCCCATCCCATCCCATCCCATCCCCTCCCATCCCATCCCATCCCATCCCATCCCATCCCTCCATCCCATCCCCCATCCCCATCCCATCCCATCCCATCCCATCCCATTCCCATCCCATCCCATCCCATTCCCATCCCTCCATTCCCATCCCCATCCCATCCCATCCCATCCTCTCCCATCCCATCCCATCCCATCCCATCCCCTCATCCCATCCCATCCCATCCATCCCATCCCATCCCATCCCATCCCATCCCATCCCATCCCATCCCATCCCATCCCATCCCATCCCATCCCAATCCCATCCCCTCCCATCCCATCCCATCCCATTCCATCCATCCCCTCCCATCCCATCCCATCCCATCCCATCCCCATCCCCATCCCATCCCATCCCATCCCATCCCATCCCCCATCCCATCCATCCCATCCTTCCTTCCACCATCCCATCCCATCCCATCCCATCCCATCCCATCCCATCCCATCCCATCCCATCCCATCCCATCCCATCCCATCCCATCCCATCCCCTCCCATCCCATCCCATCCCATCCCATCCCATCCCATCCCATCCCATCCCATCCCATCCCCTCCCATCCCATCCCATCCCATCCCATCCCATCCCATCCCATCCCATCCCATCCCATCCCATCCCATCCCATCCCATCCCATCCTATCCCATCCCATCCCATCCTATTCTTGCCTAATCAGCTATTTTTCTTCCGTGTATCGACTCTTCACTTTCCTGGCAGCTTCTCTTCAACCCACGTGACGATGTTGCAGTTGTTGCATTCGGCTCCAAGGGTATGTGATGTGATGTGAGCCCCCTCTGAGCAGTTTTTTTTTTCTTTCTTTCTTTCTTTTTTCTTTGTTCTTTTTTTGTTAACGTATATCTCATCACAAACCTTCCCTTGTACTCTCCACATCACAACTCTTTAAGACATTGATTCCTTCTACTCTCCATTTGCAGAGACGAACAACCCCTTGGAGGAGGTGGAAGGGTACGAGAACATAGCCGTGGTGGTGCCTCACAGGGTGGTGGATCCATCCTCGTTACAAGCTGTGCACGCTATGGAGCAAGCAGCAGACTCGAGCATCAGGAGTGACTGTGAGTGAAGTAAATTACCGTTAAGGAAGGTGTGTGTGGGTGTGGGTGTGGGTGTGGGTGGGGGTGGTAGGAAGCGTCAATGAGATCAGAAGAAGACGACTTCAAACAGAGCCAGGTGTGAGGAGCGATTGTGAGCGAGTGGCTGTCCTCACTCGGTGCAGGTGCTGTTATTATTCGATAATAACAGCACCTGCACTGATTGTCAGCGAGTGGCTGTCGTCACGGAGACCGCGTGTGTGTGAGGGTGGTTAGGAAGTTAGAGAACACCTCAGAAGGCTTTTGAGGCGCCTCACATGTGTGAGTGAGGGTAGTTACTAGGCAGTGAGTTCCTAAAAACGCGTCGGTCTGAGCTAATAGAAGGGCATTTGTATTGCATTCCTCTTGCCCACCGACCTGCCCAGGGCTCAGCGCGCTTGTGGTAGCTCTGGACCTGCTCATTCGCGCCAAGGGCCCGCTGGGGCCGAAGAGAGGGTGTGAGTGAGGTGATTGCTTCTTTGCACTGCCCTGGTGGCGGCCTTATCCTCTCCGCCCCCCACACTCCCAGGGCTCAGCGCGCTTGTGGTGGCCTTAGACCTGCTCATTGTTTTGAGACGTCTCAAAACAACCCTTCTATCACGTGGCTATTCCTCACCCACCCTCCCAGGGCTCAGTGCGCTTGTGGTGTCCTTAGACCTGCTCATTCGCGCCAAGGGCCCCCTGGGGCTGGCAAGGGGTGGAGGGGCTTCACTCATCCTCGTTACCCTCTTCTTCCCGTCTCTTGCCCACCCCTCACATCTTCCCAGGGCTCAGCGCGCTTGTGGTGTCCTTAGACCTGCTCATCCGCGCCAAGGGCCCCCTGGGAATCACAAAGGGCGTGAAGCGCGTCATGCTGCTGACAGGTGGCGGCACGCCATTGGAGGAGGCCAGCGAAGGTTCCAATGAGGAGCAGGTGTGTGGAAAAGGGGGACAGATACAGATACAGATACAGGGGGTTTTGGCGGGGGGGGCTTCCCCACTTTCGTGTAGTAAGTCGATTTTTGAGTCGACTCAAAAAAGGAGTAGGTGTGTGGAAAAGGGGGAGGGACAGATAGATACAGGGGGTTTTGGCGGGGGCCATCACACTTTCTCCTCTTCTGCCCTCTTTTCGCCTGAGTTGAGTCCGCTTCCGCACTTCCCCACTTCACTAGCCCACTCCTATCTTTATATGTATCGTTGTCCCAGGTGGCAACGGTAGCAGGGAAATTGAGCGGGTACAACATCACTCTGCACGCTGTACTGCTGAGACCTCGCCCCTCCCTCCCCTCTGCTGAGACCTCGCCCCTCCCTCCCCTCTGCTGAGACCTCGCCCCTCCCTCCCCTCTGCTGAGACCTCGCCCCTCCTTCCCCTCTGCTGAGACCTCGCCCCTCCTTCCCCTCTGCTGAGACCTCGCCCCTCCCTCCCACCCAAACTGCCACCCTCCAGGCGGCAACGGTGGCTGGGAAGATGCACGAATACGGCATCGCTCTGCACGCTGTGCTGCTGAGACCTCGCCCCTCCCTCCCACCCAACATTCTCCTTCTCCATCCCCCATCATCCCCTCCCCTTTTCCCGTCCCAGGCGGCAACGGTGGCTGGGAAGATGCACGAATATGGCATCGCTCTGCACGCTGTGCTGCTGAGACCACCACCTCCCCACCCCCCAACATTCTCCTTCTCCATCCCCCATCATCCCCTCCCATCATCCCCCCCCATCACCCTCTTGTCTCTTGTCTCTCCCAGGCGGCAACGGTGGCTGGGAAGATGCACGAATATGGCATCGCTCTGCACGCTGTGCTGCTGAGCGGGAGGGTGGAAGGCGAGGAGGCAGAGGCAGGAGGAGCAGACGACGATGGGGACCCAGGAGGAGGAAGGGCAGAGGCCAGGGATGTTGCTAACGAGAACGAGAAGCTGCTGAGAAGGTTCTTTGATGCGGGGGCTTGCAGGGACCACGGGGGTCGAAGGGAAGAGCAGGAGAAATTGAAGGAGGAAGATGGGGGAAGGTGCGGGAAACGGTGCAAACGGGAAGAGAATGGGACAGGTGATGCAAGGGCGGAGGGAGGAGGTGGGGCGGATGAGGAGGAGGAGGAAAAAGGCGTTGGGAGCGGTGGTGTGGTGTGTGGAGGGGAGCTGCGAGTGGTGGCGTCGCTGGCAGCAGCGGGCATGCTGTATCGGGTGAAGCCGCGAGTGCTGCCCACCACATCGTACCGAGGCGACTTGCTGGTGGCCCCTGGATTCACCATCAAGGTGAGGCACAATGTGTGGATGCATTCTGTGTTCTCTCATCATCTGTTTCTTTGCAAGCCTCTGCAGCGCAATTGCCACCAGCAGCAGCAGCAGCAGCAGCAGCAGCAGCAGCAGTGGGCATGCTGCTGTATCGGGTGAATCCACGCGTGCTGCCCACCACATCGTACCGCGGCGACCTGCTGCTGGTGGCGCCTGGCTTTGCCATCAAGGTGACGAGGCGCCCCAAGAGGTGTGATGTGGTGTGGAGGGGTGTTGCGAGTGGTTGGGTGTCTGGGCACTGCCACTGGCAGCAGCAGTTGCGCCCTTGGGGCAAGCTGTTCCAGGTGGAACCGCGCATGCTGCCCCCAGGCGACCTGCTGCTGGTGGCTCCAGGATTCACCATCAAGGTGTGTGTGAGTGTGAGGAATGCGTTGCTGTGGCTGCATTGCACTGCACGTGTCATTGCACTCTGAGAAGTGAAGCATCGAGTGCTTCCCTGCCCACCACGCCGTACCAAGGCGTGATTCATCATCAAGGTGTGTGTGAGTGTGAGGAATGCGTCGCTGTGGCTGCATTTCACCCCCCTTTCCTATCCTTAAGTTTTTTCTCCCCCACTCCACCCCCAGGTTCGGGCATACAACAAGACCTTTCCCCAGCGCCTCTCTCCCGCCTCGCCCCTCCCTCCAATTCTTCCTTCCTTCCCATCCCGCCCTGTCGTCCCTCCACCCAACCTGTTAGGTCTGGTCCTACAAGAAGACCTTCCCTCAGCGCCTCCCTCCCCAGCGCCTCCCTCCCGCCTCGCCCCTCCCTCCAATTCTTCCTTCCTTCCCATCCCGCCCTGTCGTCCCTCCACCCAACCTGTTAGGTCTGGTCCTACAAGAAGACCTTCCCTCAGCGCCTCCCTCCCCAGCGCCTCTCTCCCGCCTCGCCCCTCCCTCCGATCCCTCCGCCACTGGAGATGTGAAGCAGGATCAGGAGTGCAGAACGGTGGAGTGTGGTGCCAGTTGGAGAGGTGATTTGTGGCATACGAGACAAGGAAGTCCCTTTTCTCATCCTTCCCCATCCCACCGGATCCCTCTCTAACTCTCTCCCCCAGGTCTGGTCCTACAAGAAAACCTTCCCTCAACGCCTGCCTCCACTGAAACTCCTCTCGCGCCTCGCCCCTCCCTCCGATCCCTCCGCCACTGGAGATGTGAAGATGGAGAGAGAGTACCGAGTGGTGGAGAGCGGTGCAGATGGGCATGGGGAGGGCGGAGGGGACGGGGAAGATGGAGGAGGGGAAGGGGAGGAAGGGGGTGGGGCGGAGGGAGGAGGGGGAGCGGGGGAAGAGCTTGAGACAGTGGGGTTGGATGAGCTTGTGAGGGCGTACAAGTATGGGCCCCAGGTGGGTGGTGAGTCAACTCGAGTCAATTGGAGTCAACTGAAGTCAACTCAGGTCAACACAAGTTAGCAGTCCAGTGTGGGCCTCATCTGGGTGGTGAGTCAAAATCATATCGGGGTGACTCTTGAGTCGACTCAGAAGTCAGTATTGCTGTTTGCTTCTCCTGCCGGTGATGAAAATCCCAGTCGACTTGATATGTTAGTGCGGTTATCAAGTAGTACGTCCTCCAACCAACTCCCCCATTCCCCCGCACTTCCCCCCGCCAATAATCACCAGGTCATCCCAGTGAGTGAGTATGACCGCATGGCAAACCGGTTTCAGGCAGAGAAGGGGATCCAAATAATTGGCTTCACAATGCGAGACCAGATTCCGAGGTAATTGTGGAAAGAAGGAACGTTTACTATTTCCTCAAAGACAAGCACACATTTCCTCATGGCCATACTCCTCCCCGAGTCTACCAACACCAACCAAGGCCTAGCTCGCTCGCTCTCTCACACCCTTCCTTCCTGTACCTCACACATTTCGACTTTTGAGTCGACTCAAAAGTCAACTCGCCCTCTCACACCCTTCCTTCCTGTACCTCACACATTTCGTTGTGCCCATCCCAGGCACTACTTTATAAAGGACACGGCCATTCTCCTCCCAGAGCCCAGCAACACCAAGGCCGCTCTCGCCCTCTCAGCCCTTGCACAGGCCATGGAATCCTCCGAAAAGGTGGCGATCGTGCGGTTCAAGCTCACCAACCGGGCCGACTCGGGCGTTGCCCTCGGCGTGCTGACGCCGTGGTGTAGCGGGAAGCGAGGGTTCACAGAAGAGGATGATGAAGCTGTGGTGAGTGCACGCTTGCCCGGTGTGGTGTGGGCAGTCCACCTATCCCAGGTGTGGGAGGGAAGGTGGCGATCGTGCGGTTCAAGCTCACCAACCGAGCGGACTCGGGTGTTGCACTCGGTGTGCTGACGCCGTGGTGTAGAGGGAAGAGGGGATTTACAGAGGAGGAAGATGAATCTGTGGTGAGTGCATTGCATGCTTGCTTGTTCTGGTGTTGTACGGATGGCCTGCGATCGGCGTGCTGACGCCGTGGTGTAGAGGGAAGCGAGAGTTTAGCCACGTGAGGTGAGGGTGTTTTTGAGACTGCAGGGTGTTTTTGAGACGTCTCAAAAACACCCTCACCTCACATGGCCTGCGATCGGTGTGCTGACGCCTTGGTGTAGAGGGAAGGGAAGCGAGGGTTTACAGAGGAAGAAGATGAAGCTGTGGTGAGTGCATTGCTTTGTGAGGCGCTGTCGTATGGATGAAATGCACTCGGCGTGCTGACGCCTTGGTGTAGAGGGAAGCGAGGATTTGCGGAGGAGGATGATGAAACTGTGGTGAGTGAGTTGGCGTTGCATTTAGTGTGCTGACTCCGTGTAGAGCGAGAAAGGTATTTCCTAAGAGGGGGATGTCTGTGTGGTGGTGGTGGTGAGTGTGTGCATGCATCGTTTGGTGTGCGTGTCGTACGGATGGGATTGATGCTGGCATTCGGCCATGAGGACTGGCCGAGCAGCTGCAGTTGAGATTAGATGGTTTCGAACCGCTGCAGACTCCCACCCCAACCTGCTGCTCGTCAGCACCATCCACTTCCGGCAATGAAAGTTTAGCTTTGAGACGTCTCAAATTTTCAACTTTTATCACGCAGCCATGAGGACTGGCCGAGCAGCTGCAGTTGAGAATAGATAATTTCGAACCGCTGCAGACTACCACCCTGACCTACTAATCTTCAACACAATCCCCTTCAGTGAGGACATCCGCAAGTTCTCCTTCCCCTCCCTAGAAACCATCCCAGACGTGTTCCCTTCACCATGCCCCTTCCCCCTCTCCTCTCACCCCCCAAACACCCCCACTCCCCTGTCCAACCCACTCTTTCTGCCGCATTACCAGCCCGATCTACTGCTCTTCAACACCATCCCCTTCAGTGAGGACATCCGGGAGTTCTCCTGCCCGTCGCTAGAAGCCACACCAGACGCTCTTCCACTACCATGCCCCTTCTCCCTCCCCTCCCCTCCCCTCCCCTCCCCTCCCCTCCCCTCCCCTCCCCTCCCCTCCCCTCCCCTCCCCTCCCCTCCCCTCCCCTCCCCTCCTCTCCGCTCCCCTCCCACGCAGCCGGATCTACTGCTATTCAACACCATCCCCTTCAGCGAGGACATCCGGGTGTCCCTTACGTTGTGTGTCACCTCCTCCCCCCCGCAACATCTAACCTCATCCCTCCCCCCTCTCTCCCGCCCTGTGTTCATGTCACATGACCAGCCCGACCTGCTGCTATTCAACGCCATCCCCTTCAGTGAGGACATCCGGGAGTTCTCCTTCCCGTCGCTAGAAACCGCGCCGCCCAATCAGCAGCCGACAGCTGTCCAGAGCAGCGCAGCAGCAGCGCTGGTCCAGGCGATGTCTCTAGTGCGGTGCAGTGAGGTGGGGGAGGATGACGAGGAGTACAATAAGGAGGAGGGGGTGGGGGAGGATGAGAAGCTGAGACCAGAAGACACACCCAGCCCGGCACTGCAGGTAGGTTGCCCTTTCTCTTGCATGCCAAGAAATTTTTTAGAACTCTTGAGAATGTAAGGAGGAGGGGGTAGAGGAGGATGAGAAGCTGAGACCAGAAGACACACCCAGTCCTGCACTGCAGGTACTTCTCTCTTTCTCTCTCCCTGCAGCACAGCACTAATACGATTTCATTCATTCCTGCATTCCAAATTCCCCAATCCGTTTCCCCTCCCCGTCTTGCTGTTCACCCCTCCCACCCTCCCACTCTCCCTCTCATTCTCCCACCCTCCCTCTCTCATTCTCCCACCCTCTCCTTCCCCCCAATCATAGCACTTCCACGATTCCATTCATGCTCGTGGACTTTGCCCCAAGGCCCCTTTTTGAGTCGACTCAAAGCACCCTCTCCTTCCCCCCAATCATAGCACTACTACGATTCCATTCATGCTCGCGTACTTTGCCCCAAGGCCCCCATACTGCCTCTCCCTGGCGCTCTTGCTGTTCACCCCTCTCACCCACACGCTTTCCCACTACTTTTTTTTAGGCGCCTCAAAAATCGCTTACCCACTACTTTTTTTTAGGCGCCTCAAAAATCCTCTCTCACACGCTTTCCCACTACTAATTTCTCACTCTCCTTCCTTCCCTTCCCATCCCCACAGCACTACTATGATTTCATCTGTGCCGTGCCGTGCCCGGGTCCTCCACTCCAAGGCCCACATATCGCCTCTCCCTGCCTCTCTAGCTGTTTTGCCCTCCCACCCTCCCAGTTTCACCCTTCCCATCCCCACAGCACTACTATGCTTTCATCCGAGCTCGAGTCCTCCAACCCAAGGCCCGCATTCCACTTCTCCCTGCCTCTCTTGCTGTTCAGCCCTCACCTCCCACCTATCACCTTCCCAACCTCCCACTCCCACCTCTCCCCCCTTCCCATCCCCACAGCATTACTACGACTTCATCCGAGCTCGAGTCCTCCAACCCAAGGCCAAGATACCGCCACTCCCTGCCTCTCTAGCTGTTCAGCCCTCTCATTCTCCCACTCTCTCTACCCCCCTGTCCCCCCCTTTCGCAGCACTACTACGATTTCATCCGAGCTCGAGTCCTGCACCCCAAGGCCCGCATACCCCCTCTATCTGCCTCTCGTGCTGTTCACCCCTGCCCACCCCTCCCACTCCCAATCTTCCCCTCCCCCATCGCAGCACTACTACGATTTCATCCGAGCTAGAGTCCTCCGCCCCAAGGCCCCCATTCTGTTTCCCCTCCCTCTCTTGCTGTTCACCGCTCCCACCCTCCCACTCTCTGAATATCATTCTCCCACCCTCCAATCTCTCCCCCCCTCCTCATTGCAGCACTACTATGATTTCATCCGAGCTCGAGTTCTCCGCCCCAAGGCCCCCATACCGCCTCTCCCTGCTGCCCTCGCTGCTCCCCTCTCCCACCCGCTCTCTGCCGACCATCCTGCCGCCCGGTCCTTTGCTGCTGCCTTCCCTGCCCTTGGGGATCACACTGCGGTGAGTTGACACAGGTAGGTTGATTTTCGTAGGCTCCTCAAACATTTGGTAGTCTTGGTAGGTAGGTAGGTTCAAGCACGGCGAGTGTTGGTAGTCAAGTTTGGGCTGATCTTCTAGTCGACTTGAAAACCATCCTGCCGCCCGGTCCTTTTCTGCTGCCTTCCCTGCCCTCAATGATCACACCGCGGTGAGTTGAATCAGTGTAGGTTGAAGCAGGTGCGGTGAAGCAGGTGCGGTGAAGCAGGTGCGGTGAAGCAGGTGCGGTGAAGCAGGTGCGATGAAGCAGGTGCGGTGAAGCAGGTGCGGTGATGCAAGTGCGATGAAGCAGGTGCGATGAAGCAGGTGCGGTGAAGCAGGTGCGATGAAGCAGGTGCGGTGAAGCAGGTGCGGTGATGCAAGTGCGATGAAGCAGGGTGTATTCTAATTCAACTCAAGATATGCCTGCGTCTCTGCTGCTGCCTTCCCTGCTCTGGCTGATCACACCGCGGTGAGTTGTGGCAGCGTGGGTCTTACACATAGGCTGTTGCACGTAGGCTGTAGCAGGCTGTAGCACATAGGCTATAGCACAGGCTGTAGCATAGGCTGTAGCACACCTTGACTCGAGAAGGCATTTTTCCTGTTTGATTCCAAACCAAACCCTCACCATTCGTGTTGCTGTTACTTTCGAGAAATTTCAAAGTAACACCAACATTTTCCCTGTTAAGTTCCAACCCCTCATCATTCATCATACGTCTTTTAGCCTCTTTCGCAGCAGCCTGTGCAGCTGTTTCAGGCAGTGCCTTCCCCAGACGAGCCTGCACCAGCCGCACCTGCCCCAAGCAGACGATTTTCTTCCCGTGACTTAAAACTGCCTTTTCCTCTTTGGATATCCACCCCTCTCCCTTCCCTCATGCGCTTTTCCAGCCTCTATCTCAACAGCCTCTGCAGCTGTCCCAGGCAGAGCCTTCCCCAGACGAGCCTGCACCAGCTGCAGCTGCCCCAAGCAGACCGGATTCTCCTGTCGCCAGGGACCAAAGCAGGGAGACGAGCGCCGGGCCTTCAGGTGTAACCAGTGCGGGGCACTGACGGATGTGGTAACTGTGGCGTGTGATAGTGTAACCAATGGACCTGGGGCCTTCAGGTGTAACCAGTGCGGGGCACTGATGGATGTGCAGCTGTCTCAGGCAGAGCCTTCTCCAGACGAGCCTGCACCAGTTGCACCTGCCCCAGGCAGATCAGATTCTCCTGAAGCCAGGGATCAAAGCAGCGATATGAGCACCGGGTCTTCGGCTGTAACCAGTGCAGGGCCATCTGTCGTTACCACTGAAGAAGAGTGGTTTCCCTGTTACTGGTGGAATATTGTATTGTAACCAGTGGTACCTGGTCTTTACCGTATCAGTAAAGAAGAATGCTTTTTTTAAGGAGAATGACTGGTGTTACATGAGCCTTAGGATAATGTACCCAGTATAACAACGCAAGCACAGTAGCAATAACAAGAACTGTACTGGCTAGGAAGGAGATAATGGAGTGGTAGTTAAGAAGATGACGGAGCCTGGGAGGAAAAGCTCCGACTCGAGCTGCTGCAGCATGTGGCAGCAGATGGCTTTTGAGGCACCTCAAAAGAGGATTGGGCTGTTGTGACAGGTAATTCTGAGTCTTGGCACAGGTTAGAAGATGACAGAGCCTGGGAGGAAAAGATCCGACTCGAGCTGCTGCAGCATGTGACAGATGGCATTGCACACTGCAATGGCCGGCTTCTGAACAACATAAATTGGTGGGGGAGTGGGAAGGGAGAAGAGGGGTGTGAAGGGATGTGAAGAGATGTGAAGGGATGTGAAGGGATGTGGGGAGTAGCAAAGGAGGAAGTGAATGAAAGTTTGATAGGAAAGAAGGGGGAAGCTCTGGTTCCTGCTGCTGGTTATGCTTGTCACTGTTGAGAGTTCTCAAAACCTTCTCTTGCTGCTGGCAGCTTGTGCCAGCACCTAGTGTCTACGTTCAATATATTTAGGATACCTGAGGTAAGGTTGACAGCACCAGCAACCAGGTTACTGGAGATGGGGGGGTTGGGGCCTAGTGGCATCACCCTCGTTTTCTCACCCCGGACATGCTACTACCATGCTAAGCCACGCCATGCCACCACCATGCCATGCCACCACCATCCCATGCCACCACCACGCCATGCCACCACCACGCCATGCCACCACCATGCCATGCCACCACCATGCCATGCCACCACCATGCCATGCCACCACCATGCCATGCCACCACCATGCCATGCCACCACCATGCCATGCCACCACAACGCCATGCCACCACCAGGCCATGCCACCACCATGCCATGCCACCACCACGCCATGCCACCACCATGCCATGCCACCACCACGCCATGCCACCACCATGCCATGCCACCACCATGCCATGCCACCACCATCCCATGCCACCACCATGCCATGCCCCTAACCGCACCTTAGTTGCGAGAGGGTCGAATGCAGCCATGATCTCAAAGTCAGGTGTTCGCCAGGAGAGGAGCACTGCAGGAGGGCATGGGGGGAGAGGGGTATAATCATACGATGGATGCCATGTCATCAGGTCGGCACGCTAAGGTTTTGAGGCGCCTCAAAAGCCATGTCATCAGGTTGGCACGCTCAGGTTTTGAGGCGCCTCAAAAGCCATGTCATCAGGTTGGCACGCTCAGGTTGCAGGTAGCGAAGCGCCTTCTAAGGTGCCTCAGAGTCGCTCACGTGGAGTAGAGGGATACTCGCATGCAACTCAAATCTTCAGAGAAGAGGGCATGTCTCACCGAAGTCCTTGGTTCGTCTGTACTGCGTCTTGATGCCGCCCGGCACGGGGCAGCTGCCACCCGTTTCCATCGCAGCCAGCAATGATGACGCTGTCGCGGACGACGAGGATGCTGACATGGCAGAGGAGGCTGCTGACGTGGCGCCGCCAGTAGCGTGCGGTGCGGTGACGGGGGTCTGAGCTGTCATGGAGGAGTGCATGGTCTGGTAAGCCCGCAGAAGACTGTTCGTTGGAGGGGGAGAGCGGCGGGAGGGGGAGCAATGGGTGTGAGGAGAGGCAAGGGAGGGACAGAAGCGGAGGGGGGGAGGAAGGGGAGGTGAGTGAAATGAGTCCAGGACGGACTGGCGCAGAAGTCCATTTCACTCGCCTCCCCTTCTTTCACAGAAAGGCTATCACAGAGGAGTGCCTGCTTTGATAGCCCATCTGCCCTAGAAGGCCAGAAGCTCACCAGCCTTTGCCGGTCCAGGTGAAAAAAGGAGTGTTTTGAGACGTCTCAAAACAGAAGCTCACCAGCCTTTGCCGGTCCAGCCCCCCTTTCCCACGCCACGCCCCCTGCGCAGCGCACCCACCCGCTCAGCATCCCTCCACCAACTCTCTCACCGCGCACTCACCTTTTCTGCTGCCGCCTGTCACCGAGTGCTGCAGGGAACTCTGCCAGGACGAACTGCCGCAGAGGCAACCCATCTACCCAACAAACACCACCCACTCACCCACCCACCCACCCACTCAGCATCCCTCCCTCATGCCACTTCCCCCCTTCCCCCACTCACGTTTTCTGCTGCCGCCTGTCGCTGAGTGCCGGGGGGAACTCTGCCAGGACGAACTGGCGCAGAGGCAGCTCACTTGCTTTACAAGCCCTACCTTACCAACCAGCCAGCACTCACACCCAACCCCCATGCACTCACACCCAACCCCCATGCACTCACGTCTTCTGCTGCCGTCTGTCGCTCAGCGCTGAGGGGAACTCCGCCAGGACGAACTGGCGCAGAGGCACGCTGCGGAACACGAAGTGCAGCAGACCCTGCGGGCCCCACATGGGCGCTGCTTGCGCTGCTATCTGCACTGCGACCTGTGCTGCCATCCGTGTGGGTGTCTGTGTGAGTGGCTGTGCCGGCACCAGAGGGGATATCTGAGTGGGAATGGTGAGAGGAGGAGGGAGGGACCGGTTGGGTGGAGCAGAGGATGGCTCAAGAGGAACAGATATTGGCACTTCTGTCACTGGTGAATCGGTTTCATGCTGGCCCATCCCCATACCCGTACCCATGCCCATACCCACAGCCATGCCCCCTCCCAATACACTTCTCAGCTTTTCCAGTGCTAACACTGCTCCATCCTCCTCCTCCTCATCCTCCTCCTCCTCTCCCTCCTCTCCTTCCTCCTCCCCTTCCCCTCCCTCCGCACCTTCTCCTCCCCCCTCCCCCTCCCTCTCCCCCCCACCACCAAACACCCCCCGGCCCTCTGATTGGTCGAACGCCCCTGAGTAATCATCATCCTCGTCAGCACCGTTTTCTGATTGGCCCATGGGGATAATATCACACCCCATGCCAGGGCCTAGTCCGTATGGATCAGGAAAGGGCAACCCAGGGGGTTGGGGGGAGGGGAGGAGGGCGGGAGAGCGGAAGGGGGAGGAAGAGCGGCGGGAAGAGGGGGAGGGGGAGCGGCGGGCAGGGGAGGAGGAACGGAGAGGGCGGGAAGAGGAGTGGAGAGCAGGGGAGGAGGTGCGTTGAGGAAAGGAGGAGGAGGATTTTGTGGTTGTGGTGGTGGTTGGAGGGTTGGTGGCAGTGGTGGTGGCGATGCGAGAAGGGGTAGTGAAGCGAGGAGAGGAGGGAGGAAAGGGAGAGAGCCTAGCGTTGTTACTACTGCTGCTGCTGCTGCTGCTGCTACTAGTAGTGGCGGTGGTGGTGGTGCGAGCGCTCCTATTGGCTGCAGCAGAAGCGGCGGCGATCGAGTCGATGTGTGATTGGACGAGATGAACAGTGACGCCGCGAGAAGGAGAGGAAGCTGCAGAGGAAATTTCCTGGAAGATGTTGCACTGTAGCAGCGTGCGTTCCATTGCCACCCTGCAAGAGGAATGATTTTTGAGAATTCTCAAACAACAAAGAAGGGAAGGGAGTTTTGAGGCGCCTCAAAAGTTGCCACCCTGCAACGTATGATTTTTGAGAATTCTCAAACAACAAAGAAGGGAAGGGAGGGGTTTGAGTAGTGTGGTCATGACTAAACTGGGAATAAACCTAGATGGTCTAACATCTTCCAGGAAATTAGATGTAGACGTACTGCTCCGCAACGCATTGCCCTGCACTGCACTGCACTGCACTGCACTGCACTGCACTGCACTGCAGGCCCCTGTGCCCTCTTTTTAAGTGCAGGAGAAGACAACCGTTATCCTTCTATAATGGGCGCGGAGCAAAGACACTGAGAGAGTCAGTGTGCGTTCCATTGCGACCTTTGCAGGAGGAAGAATGAGGGGACTCGTTTTGAAATATCACATGATACGCAGGTGCTTGTGGTTTGTCTTTGAGTGCGTGGTAGCTGTTGGGATCTGCAGAGAGCAGCAGCAGCCCTGTGTCTCCCCGCGACTGGTGATGGTCGTGCAATGGCGCCGTACTGCTGTTCCTCTCATCGCTCGAACTCACCACACCGCAACGCACCGCACCACACCTCAGCACACCTCGCCTCACCTCACATCCTTGAGTGCGTGGAAGCTGTTGGGATCTGCAGAGAGCAGCAGCAGCCCCGTGTCTCCCCGCGACTGGTGGTGATGTTACAATGGTGCCCTGAATCCTTGCTGCTTTCCCTGATACCGCTACCCACCCTGCTGCACCTCACTGTACTGCACCACACCTCACCACACCTCACCTGACGTCTTTGAGTGAGTGGAAGCTGTTGGGATCAGCGGAAAGAAGCAGCAGCCCCGTGTCTCCCCGCGACTGGTGGTGATCGTACACTGGCGCCCCAGACCCAGTCTCCTTTTCACCGCCGGTAATGCTACTGCCATCACTGCTCCTATTGCTGTTGTCGCTGCTGTTGTTGTTACCGCTGCTGCTGATGTTGCTTTTGCTGTTGTTGCTGTTGTTGTTACTAGCTGTGGCGTCAGCACCAGCACTTGCTTGCGACCGGGAGGAGGAGCGGGAGGAGTTTGAGTGGGGGGCGTTGGAGCGGAGGGAGGAGTGGGAGTGGATGGTGCGAGGAGTGGGCGGCAGTGGCTGCTCTGCCGCCCAGTAGTGCACATAGGCATAGAGGAAGGCGGCTGGGTTGTAGTGAGGCAGACACACGGGCGTGAAGGACTCGGGTGATGTTCTGGGAGGGTAGGGTTTGGGAGGGAGGGGAAGAGAAAGGGGGCTGAATTACGAGTGCAAAGCAGAGGCTGGTGTGGCGCCCAGTAGTGCACATAGGCATAGAGGAAGGCGGCGGGGTTGTAGTGAGGGAGACACACTGGCGTGAAGGACTCGGGGGATGTTCTGGGTGGGTGGGAGGGAGGCAAGGAGAGACGGGAAGACAAGGGGGATTGAATCACGAGTGCAAAGCAGCGGTTGCTCTGCCGCCCAGTAGTGCAAATAGGCATAGAGGAAGGCGGCGGGGTTGTAGTGAGGCAGACACACTGGCGTGAATGACTCGGGTGATGTTCTGGTGGTGGTTGGGAGGGAGATTGTGGGGAAGATGCAAAACGGGGGAAGGACGGAAGGAAGAGAGAGTTGGCAGGGAGGGAGAGTTTTTGGAAACCATCAAGGCAAAAGGCAGTAGTGCAAATAGGCATAGAGGAAGGCGGCGGGGTTGTAGTGAGGCAGACACACTGGCGTGACTCAGGTGATGTTCTGGATGGGAGGGTTGTAGCGCGGGAGAGGAGAGGCGCAGGAGGAGATGCACGGAAAAGCAAGTCAAGGATGCAGCCATCTTATTAAAAGAGACGACTCAAATATTGCATCAAGCTCGTAAAGCCCTAGGGGTAGCAGGAGCAGCAACTTCTGAATCAGCGTACACAGCGAAACCCTAACCCTGTACGTCTTGACGTGTCACACAGACGAGACCACTTGATGGCATACAGAAGGAATCGGAAGCATTGAGGAAGTTCAGTAGAAGGAAGACGTCACTTGAGTGCAGAGGTTCTCGCTTTTTGTGCACCACTGTGATACGAGCTGGCTTTTGAAAATTCTCAGAAACCAGCTAGTAGCAGGAACACGTCACTTGAGTGCAAAGGCTCTGGCTTTCTGTGCGCCACTGTGGCCACCTCAAAGCCCAAGACGATCAGTGTGACGCAAAGGGCACGGAGGAGGCAGCGACTTACATAGAGACCAAACTACAGCTTACCAGAGTGAGTGTGAGGCGTTGAGGAAGTTGAGCAGCAGGAAAATGTCATCGGAGTGAAGAGGCTCTCGCTTCCTGTGCGCCACTGTGACCACCTCAAAGCCCGAGAAGACCAGCGCGAAGAGCGCAGGGGAGGTAGGCGCGTGAAGAGCACAGGCATGGCAGGAGGGTACTCAAGACCAGTCTAAGTCTTACCGAAAGGAATCTGAGGCGTTGAGGAAGTTGAGCAGCAGGAAAATGTCATCGGAGTGAAGAGGCTCTCGCTTCCTGTGCGCCACTGTGACCACCTCAAAGCCCGAGAAGACCAGCGCGAAGAGTGCAGGGGAGGCGGCGGCAGCCGTCTTGATTGCGCCGCTCACTGTTGTGCGCACCCATGCTGGTATGCGCAGGCATCGCATGGACGAGAGGTAGCTGGCTGGGTCCCTGTGAGGGGGATGGGGGAGGGCAAGGGCGTACGTGGATAATGGAAGCATGACGTAGCAGCAGCAGCAGCAGCAGCACCAACAGCAGAAGCACCACCACCAGCATCAGAAGCAGCAGCGGTCTTGATCGCGCCGCTCACTGTGGTGTGCACCCATGCTGGTATGTGCAGGCAGCGCATGGGCGAGAGGTAGCTGGCTGGGTCCCTGGCATGGAATGGGAGGGACCAGGAATTCAGCACTATGGCATGGCTGCATGTGTGTGTGTGCGTGCGTGCGTGCGTGCGTGCGTGCGTGCGCGCGTGCGTGCGTGCGTGCGTGCGTGCATGCGTGCGTGCGTGCGTGCGTGCGTGCGTGCGTGTATCTGTGTCTGTGTCTGTGTGTGCGTGTGTGTGTGGTGTGCACCCATGCTGGTATGCGCAGGCAGCGCATGGACGAGAGGTAGCTGGCTGGGTCCCTGGGAATGGGATGGGGGAGGGCAAGGGGGTACGTGGATAATGGAAGCATGACGTAGCAGCAGCAGCAGCAGCAGCACCAACAGCAGAAGCACCACCAACAGCATCAGAAGCAGCAGCGGTCTTGATTTCCCCGCTCACTGTGGCGCGCACCCATGCTGGTATGCGCAGACAGCGCATGGACGAGAGGTAGCTGGCTGGGTCCCTGTGAGTGGGATGGGGATGGCAAGGGGAGAGAGAGAGGTATGCCATGGATGCAGCAAGGGCAGCAACAACAGCAGCAGCGGTCTTGATCGCGCCGCTCGCTCACTGTGGTGCACACCCACCAATGCTGGTATGCAGAGGCAGTGCATGGATGAGAGGTAGCTGGCTGGGTCCCTGGGAGTGAGGGGGGCAAGGCATACAATGGTATGGCATTGTTAGAAGGGTGTGCGTGCGTGCGTGCGTGTGTGTGTGCGTGCGTGTGTGTGTGTGTGTGTGTGTGTGTGTGTGTGTGTGTGTGTGTGTGTGTGTGTGTGCGTGTGCCCTTCTCTTTGACTTTGCGAGGGGTGACGAGTTACCAGGAGAAGGAGTGGATGAGAGCGGAGAAGAGACGATCCGTGCCGCCCAGCAGTGGCCGGATGTCAAACTTGGGGTTGCGCAGAAACGACCTCTCAATGGCTGACGTCAGCAGCATGAGGAGCTGGTGGGGGTGGGAGGGGGGAGGCGGGAAGGCAAGGGAAGAGGGCATGAGAGATGCGTTGAACGGATCTGCATGAGTGATGAGATGAGACATTGCAAAACAGGAGAGACCTCTGGATGGTTGATGTCAGTAGCATGAGGGACTGGTGGGGGGAAAAGGAGGGTTGGAGGAGGGAGTTGAGGGGGAGATGGCGGAGTGGAATGTGCATGAGTTTTGAAACTTTCTCGACACAGAAACGACTTTACAATGACTGATGCGAGCAGCACGAGGTCCCGGGGAGAGGAGGCGGGGGGGGAGAACTGTTTAATAATGGGAGAGATTCTCTATTACGGAAAGAACACGAGCTGATGATGTGAGGGAGGGACATGGCTGCATAGGAAACGCTTTTGAGTCGACTCAAAAGGGACATGGCTGCATAGGAAACGGTGTACATCCTTCCGACAATGGAGAGTAAAATGTGACTCAAGACTCAAGTTCCATTCTATCAGACAGGAAGATCTCAAGTAATACTAGAAAAACTTTTGAAAATTCCCCAAATGTGCTTTTGGTCTGAGAATAGGGTACACGGATGGTAACACATCCCTTCCTTCCATCTCCTCTCACCATCTTGTGGAGGTGGTCCAGCTGTCGCTCTATGATTGGCTCCGGCTCGCCCGCATCTGTGATCGCCACCAGGTAGAAGGAGCCGCGCACGAGGAAGAGGACCTTTGACAGGGGGGGACAGGGTGTGGGTGAGGGAGGGGTTGGAGGGTGGGAAGATGCGGAACGGGGGGAGCTGGAGGGGAGAAGCATCTGTGATGGCCACCAGGTAGAAGGAGCCGCGCACGAGGAAGAGGACCTGCCAGCCAGTGACAACAGGGGTGGCGGAGGGAAGAGGGAATTTTAGGCATCGCCATACAAGCCAAGGCCATGCCATGCCATGTCATGTCATGCCATGTCATGTCATGCCAAGGCCATGCACGTCATGGCACATGCACCTGGTGAATCTCATGCAACAGTAACCTGATACAGCCCAGCCCACCTGATGCAGCCCAGCCCACCTGATGCAGCCCAGCAGCAATGCTCCGGATGTGGTCTCCTGTCGATTCCACATACGCCACCAGCGCCTGCAGCACCCCTCCGAACGCTGCTAGCTTGTACTCGTCCCCGTACCTGGGTAGATGATGTGGGGAGGGAAAGGGGAGAGGAGGGGAGAAAGGAAGAGGTTTGAAAGGAGAAGCATGTGATGTAAGGTTCCTTTTTGAGACGTCCCGAATAAAACCTTAAACCACGTCGCAAGGAGCAAATCAAAACCTGCACTGCAGCACCCCAGCCAAATGCGGCTGGTTTGCACTCATCACCATACCTGAGGGGTCCAGGCTCATAGGGGTCCAGGCTCATAGGGGTCCAGGCTCATAGGGGTCCAGGCTCATAGGGGTCCAGGCTCATAGGGGTCCAGGCTCATAGGGGTCCAGGCTCATAGGGGTCCAGGCTCATAGGGGTCCAGGCTCATAGGGGTCCAGGCTCATAGGGGTCCAGGCTCATAGGGGTCCAGGCTCATAGGGGTCCAGGCTCATAGGGGTCCAGGCTCATAGGGGTCCAGGCTCATAGGGGTCCAGGCTCATAGGGGTCCAGGCTCATAGGGGTCCAGGCTCATAGTGGAGGGCAGCGTGGCAAGGGGGTGGACGGGAAAGCGCAGATACAGGAACCTGGAGCACATCAGAAGCTTCAGCAGCTACCTTAACGCTGCTAGCCTGCCCTTGTTGACTTTTGGGTCGGCTCAAAATCCAGCAGCTACCTGAACTGAACGCTGCTAGCTCTCCCTTGTAACGGGTTGGGGCAAAAGTCCCAATGTCGATGGTGCAGGCGTGAGTGAGAAATGAGTGTAGATCAAAATCATCATTGGTCCCAATGTCAATGTCCCTTGTTGAACTTCAACACTTCGCGAGAACCAAGGTGCGGGTCGGCGGCAAGGGCGAGGCGAGCGTCTCAACAGCTCAACAACAGCTCCCAAATGCTCCTGGTAGGCAGGCAGGCAATCAATCACCGTGAGAAGACGGGCTTGCCCGCATTGGTGACGACCAGGAAATGCCGGCCGTGCTGCCGCCACTCCTGCTGGTTCTCGTCCTGCGGTGAAGGTGAGCAGGGGTTGGGTGGGCAGAGGGATGGCATGAGTATGGCTGTGCGTATGGGCATGGACCGCATAGGCATGGTCATGGGCATGGATGGGCATGGATGGACATGGATGGGCATGGACATGGATGGGCATGGACATGGATGGGCATGGATGGGCATGGATGGGCGTGGATGGGCATGGACATGGATCGGCATGGATGGGCATGGATGGGCATGGATGGACATGGATGGGCATGGACATGGATGGGCATGGGCATGGATGGGCATGGATGGGCATGGATGGGCATGGATGGGCATGGATGGGCATGGATGGGCATGGATGGGCATGGATGGGCATGGATGGGCATGGATGAGCATGGATGGGCATGGATGGGCATGGATGGGCATGGGCATGGATGGGCATGGATGGGCATGGATGGGCATGGATGGGCATGGATGGGCATGGATGGGCATGGGCATGGGGCATGGGCATGGATGGGCATGGATGGGCATGGGCATGGATGGGCATGGATGGGCATGGGCATGGATGGGCAGGGACCTGCCTGTTCCTCTCACCTAAGCCACAGCGTGTAGCTGACATACCCATACCTTACCCCACCCCTTCCGACACCTCTCCTCATCTGCGTGTCTTTTCCCCAGCACCATCCATGTGACCACAGCGACCTGCCTGTGCTGTGCCCCTCCTCCTGATCATTCTTTCCCCACGCCTCACCTCATCCGCGTGTCTCTTCCCCGGCAACCACCCGTGCGACCACAGGGACCTGCCAGTGCCTCTCCTCCTCACTCTCTCACTCTCCGCCTCCCTCCTCCTCTCCTCTTCCCTCACCTTCTCCTTCTCCTTCCCCTCCTCCTCCTCCCGTTTCTCCCTCTCCCTCTCCCTCTCTTGCTCCCTCCTCCCCTTTTCTCTCTTCCTCTCGTCCGCCCTCTCTACTCTCTCCTCCTTCCCCTTCCTCTCCTGATCTTCTCCCTCCCTCTCCCCGTCCTTCTCCCTCCCCATCTCTCTCAACCGTTCTTTAACCATTTCCCCACCCTGTTCGCACGGCTCGCCGTTCCCCACGCTCTCACTCTCTCTGCCTCTATCTGCTTCGCTTTCTCCTCCTCTGTCCTCGAATCTCCTCTCTCCTCTCCCTTCGCCTCCACTTCCTCCTCTCTCCTTCCCTCTCTTCTCTCCTCCCGACTCTTCTCCCTCCTTTCTCCGAGGCTCCCCTCCGTTATTGCTTCCCTCGATACAGTCTCTGCTGACGTCGTTGCTGACGTCATTGTTACTAACGCCTAGCTCTCGCAGCACCGCGTCCACCTCATCGTCGCCAATTGGACGGCTCTCCGCATCCGACGCTGCTGCCGCCAGCAAAATCGCCGAGACTACATCTGCCTTCTCCTTGGCTTCTCTCCGTTTACCGGTATCCTCGCTAGAGCTATCCCAGTTATCGTCGCTATGCTCGGGCGATTCGTCCGAGTCATCTGGAAGGTAACACGGCGGGTCTGACGACATGGCGAACTTGTGGTTACAGCAAGCGACCACAGAATCTGACTTCTACGCGAGAAATGTCGACACTGAGGGGGGAGAGCTTGCCAAAACAGTGAGATTCGAAACTGCGTTACAACAAAATCCGCTACGGGCATTCGCAACTCAAATTTCTATAACACCGAAAATTTTCTGTTTAAAATAAGAATACGCTACTATTGCAATAGCAGCAAACAAGCCGTGATCTACTGCAGCAATCATAGTGCTGCAGCCATGAGAATATTGTTCTGAGCCATCACAGGCCATGCTCTTAGACACAATGATTCTAATGCCTTTTAAACCCAGTTACGGTTTGTAAGCTACATACGGTAATCGCATCGTAACACTTTAATGTAATATAATGCACTGTACAAAAGGAGATCAAGCCGCCCTTGGGAGTTATCGTGCACCACGTGCAGGCACAGGCGAACCCAGCTGGAAAATACCCTTTTTATCCGAAGGACTCCCAAACGACCCTACCGCGTCACCCCTCCTTTGCGGGGAGGTTGCTTCCGGTGATTCCCCCCCTCCCACTCCTCTCGAGCCTCCCGCTTCTCCCGAACCTCCCTGTGTGCTACGTGTGGTGGGCGAACCAGACCGGAAAGAGCTTCTTCGTTCCAATAAACTCCCTGAAAGCCCGCCAGCAGCAGCAGGAGTAGCACCACCACTGCCAACACCACTGCCCCCTCTCCTCTGTGGTGAGGAGATTTGGGGCGACCTCCCTCCTCCCACTCCTCCTCCCACTCCTCCCACTCCCCCTCCCACTCCTCCACCTCTCTCCCTCTCACCCGCCCTGTCCGCCCCTGCACCCTCCTTTCGCCGTGTATCAGGTGCAGGCTCAGCGGTGAAGAACGGCCGGATGTACTTTGAATCAAGGTCCTCAAAGGAAGGGCTGCAAGGATTAGAAAACAGGGTGAACAAGAGAGAGAAGGTGGGGGAGCGTATGAGGTGCCACATTTTGCAGGCTCTTGACATGAAGACCGGTCAGATGTACTTTGAGTCGAGGTCCTCCAAGGGACGGGTAGCAAGGAGAGAAACAGGGGTTATGCAACAGAGAGAGGGGGACGCCTCAAATTGTTGGCTCTGCCGTGAAGTGTGCATGGTCAGATCTACTTTGATTTGCGGTCCTCAAAGGGAATGGCTGGACGGAGATAGATGGGAGAGAGAACAGGGTGGGGGAGAGGGGACTCCACGGAGCATTTCTGGTCGTCATGCTGGTTACGTGTGCGGAGACCATTGCCAATGTCAGAATTTTGTTTTCAACACAATAATCGTGTTTTCACATTATCGCTGCAACTCGAATGCTGTCCCTCTCTTGCGTGAACGGCCTTTAGTTAGCTTCATACTATAAGTGGCCCCTCTCGCTCAGTAATTTATACCACCAAGTGCAGTTTATGTTGAACCCTGGATCGGCCATGAGCTCATTGTAGCCATTGCACTCAGTGGTGAAGAACTACTGAGCAAGGGGGGCCTCCTATATTGGTGCGACTATTGAAAATTCTCAGAAGTCGCTCCTATAGTATGAAGCTAACTGAAAGGCAGATCGCAAAGAGAGAGAGAGAGAGAGAGAACTTTTGAGTCGTAGCCAAAATGTAAAAACAATTAAACGTTGATCACGAATTTGTGGCTTTGGCAATGGCCTCAGCACATGTAACTAACCAGCATGACGACCATGAAGACTCAAAGGGAAGGGCTGGACGGAGACAGATGGGAGAGAGAACGGGGTGGGGGAGAAGGGAGGGGAGAGAGGGAGGGGGGGTGCCTTTGAGATGCCTCATTGCAGGCCTTGCAGTGAAGAACGGTCGAATTTACTTAGGAGTCAAGGTCCTCGAACAAAGGAAGGGCTGTAAGGATACACCACGGGGGTGAGGCAAGAGCGACAAGGGGCCCAGTGAGGTGCCACGTTTTGCAGGCTTTGCCGTGAAGAGTTGTTGGATGTACCTGGCCTTCTCTCCTGACCAAAAACTAATTGGTTAGGCGTCTCAAGAAGATTATTTGAGGCGGCTCAAGAAGAGTTGTTGGATGTACATGCCCTTCTCTCCTGGCCAAACCGATTATTTAGGCGCCTCAGAAAGATTATCTGAGGCGGCTCAAGATGAGTTGTTGGATGTACGTGGCCTTCTCTCCTGGCCAAACCGATTATTTAGGCGCCTCAGAAAGATTATCTGAGGCGGCTCAAGATGAGTTGTTGGATGTACGTGGCCTTCTCTCCTGGCCAAACTGTGTTCGTGCATGTGCCTGCATGTGCAAAAGGATGTATGTGTGTGAAAGGTTCACACATGCCCGCATGTGCATACACGTGTGAATGCATTTGCATGGGCGTATGTGCGCACACGCGAGTGCATGTGCATGCATGTGCCTGCATGTGTGTGCGTCACCCATTCGCACGTGCATAGATGAAAAAAACCCGCACCCGTACGCACTTTTCTGGCAGGATGTTGACATGGTGTTGGGAATACACATCAGCAGAGCCCAACTTCTGGGGCGAAAACGGAGCCCTATTCGGCTCCCCTCCTCCTCGCCCTCCTCCTCGCCCTCCCCCACGCCCATCACCATGCCCATGGCCGCGTGCGCTCCCATGTGTGTCCTCATGTGCATGTATGAGGCCGTGCGTCATGCCACTGCCCTCTTCTTCTTCCTCGTCCGATGTGTCATCCGGCTGAAAAGGACGGCAGGGGTTTGGCACAAGAAACATGAGCTGGATTTCCACTGCCTCTGTGCTCCATGTGCATGTATGAGTCCGTGAATGATGGTGCTCTCTTCCTCTTCTTCCTCATCCGATGTGTCATCCGGCTGGAAAGGACGGCAGGGGGTTTGGAAAGAGAAAGGTGTTCGCTTTCTCATGACTGTCATGTCAACACGTACATCCCGCCCTCCCATTCCTGCAGCATGTATACATGATATATGATGCATGAGTCCATGAGTCAGAGCGCTCTCATCCTCTGCACCTTGCACACCTTTCTTAATGATTCCTCACAGCTCTGTTCCTGGATAATCATACACCCATCAGCTTGCAAAGTGATCTGCCACTCTAACCACGATTTACCACAACCCCCTTCACCTCGAATCATCCCTCTTTATCCCTTATCCCTCTTCATCCCTCTTCACCACTCATTATATCTCTTCATCTCTGCTCACCGCTCTTCACCGCACCGCACCTGTCTCAGCTGGCTGTATCTGTCCCCCGTCACACGCAGCCGCTCCAGCACAGTCGACGTGCTGCCGCCCAGCAGAATCACCTGAAGGGATGGGGTTGTGTGGGGGGAGAGATAGGCGGAAAGAAGGATAGAGGGAAAGCAAGAAACTGAGGAGCCTGAAACCTGACTGACAAACACGCAGCCACTCCAACACAGTGGACGTGCTTCCACCCAGCAGAATCACTTTCATATCTCACAGGTGATTCTACTTCTACTTTCACAGAATCACCTGTGAGATATGAAAGTAGGAGACACAGAGGAGTGGTTGCATTTTACAAACATGAAGCACTCTAAGACAATACAGTGGCACATGAGGTGCTTACAGTGAGCATGACTAAAGCGGTTGTAATGGTGAAAATCGCCCTTCCACGCCCGTGGTTGGGCAGACAACAGGTGATGCAGAGAATGACACTGAAAAGAGGAGGCGTGCTTACAGTGAGCATGACTATAGCGGTTGTGGTGGTGAATATCGCCCTCCCATGGCTGTGGTTGGGCAGGTCATGTGTTGCTTGCAGAGCCAGCCCAAACGCCATGGCTCCTCGCAAGCCTGGGGTGAAAGGGAACGGGGTGGGGCAAGGGCAGATGAAACATGCAAGCATGTCAGCACAGTGTATGGCAGGCAGGTCATGTGTTGCTTGCAGAGCCAGCCCAAACGCCATGGCTCCTCGCAGACCTGAGGGCAGGGGTGAGGTGGGGTGAGGTGGGGTGAGTTGGGGTGAGATGGGATGAGATGGGGTGAGATGGGGTGAGAGAGGGCGAACTGACCACCACTGAACCACAGAGCCTTCTGCTAGCAGTCCGATTTTTTGTTGAAATCAAAAGTGGCAGGGCGGTAGAGTGAGGGAGTGTTGTTGTAGTGATAGAGTGATCGAAAATGAGGAGGGAGAGGGCACTGACCACTAAACCAGAGAGCCTTTTGGTGGCTGTCAGGTATTTGCTTGGAGGGAGGGCGGAAGAGGTTGATGAGATGCGCGCAGGGAAACACATTCGCGGCCCTGATGGGGTTGAAAAATGCGGGGGAGGGAGCAGGGAGAGAGCGGAGGAAGGATAGAGGGTACGGAGGAGGAAGAGGTTGATGAGATGTGTGTAGGGGAACACATTGGCGGCTCTGAAAGGAGATGGGGGCGGAAGAGAGGAGGGAGGATAATGGAGAGGAGGAAGAGATTTGAATGGGAGTGTGATCTGGATGCCATGCCGGCATACTGGAGTGGTTGCAGGATGGATAGATTTGAGGCCTGCTGATATGTAAGGAAACACTCGCTTTTGGAGAAGAGGGTAGTAACAGGACTACTCACTGACATGTTCTTTCTATTCTATTGATCATATATTTTTTTTAATCTATCTGGTAGTTAAGGGAACGTTGACGCCTGCACAGCCTGCTCATTTATTTTGTTACAACCCCATTCACCTTGCACCACCCCCTCTCACCTCGCTACACTGCTTCTCACCTTGCTACACCGTTACTCACCTTGCTACAGCTATGAAGAGCTGACAAGAGCGCCGGTGAATTGGAGAGGCATCACGATGAGTTGGGAGGAGTTCATATGCCGACAGGGCAGCGGTGAAGCATGGGAGGAAAGGAAAAACACATACACACACCCACACGCACCCACCCAAGCCCCCCCCCCCCCCACACACCCCGCACATGCACAAGAAGATGCTTTTAATAATTCTCAAGAGTGGCTTTTGAAGCGCCTCGAAAGTCACCCGGCATGCTGTTAACAAATCTCAGGAATGAATCCAAGGACGTGCTTGCTTGCACTCACACACCCCTCTACAAAGGGCGGGACTGAATAGTGCAGGAGAGGGAACTCAGGGGGGACCAAAGGGGTTTCAAATGGTTAAACTGGATTGCACAACAAGGTCCATCCCTCCCAAACCATATCCCACAAGCCAGCCCATGCCACCCCATCCCACCCCATCCCACCCCAGCGCCCTGCCGCGCCCCATCCCACCCCAGCGCCCATGGCTTCATCTCACTCACGATGGAGAAGAAGATGAAGCTGATGTGCCCCCACCGCTGGTGCTCCCCCAGAGCGATCTCCGTTCCCATGTAGATGAAGCTGAGGAGGGGAAGAGGGGAGGGACGATGGGGGTGGGAAGGGGGAGGGAGAGAGGGACGCTCAGGACATAAAGCTGATGTGCCCCCACCGCTGGTGCTCCCCCAGGGCAATCTCTGTTCCCATGTAGATGAACCTGAGGAGGGAGGGAGAGGGGAGGGGAAAGAGCCACGGAAGGGAATGGAGAGGTGGGGACTGGTTAGGGAGGTTGAGGTTGAGCCTACACGTAAACACTACACTGCTGGTGCCCCCCCCCCCTCCCCCCCGACAATCTCCTTACCCATGTAGATGAAGCTGGGGAGGGGGGAAGGTGGGGAACTCTCTTGCTTTACCAATGCGACCACTGGGGCCATGCTAAGCGTTCAAGAAATAAGTCCCATACTTTACCAATGCAACCTCTGTGACAGTGAAGCCGTCACCTAGAGTGGGTATGTATCAAGTGGGTGCCTATCACGTGGGTGCTTATCATGTGGGTGCTTATCACGTGGGTGCTTATCACGTGGGTGCTTATCACGTGGGTGCTTATCACGTGGGTGCTTATCAAGTGAGTATGCCAAGCTATGACTCACGTGAAGGTCTCAGCGATGGATACGATGAGTTGGACTGGAAGAAGCCGGCAGAGAGGAGCTGGGAAGCAGAGGAGCCATACTAGCACCACGAAGGACACTTGCTGACCTTTTACCAGTACACGGAAAGGAGGGCTCACTCACGTGAAGGTCTCAGCGATGGAGGCGATGAGCTGGAAGAAGCCGGCAGAGAGGACTTGAGCCACCTCTGAGAGGTTGGGGAAGGTGTAGCGCTTCATGAGCTGAGGGGAGGGGGGGAGAAGGATGGAAAGGTGGGGGGAAGCGGGGTGTACGGGGGAGTGGAGAAGCGTATGGGGAGTGTGGAGCAGAGAGGACTTGGACCACCTCGGAGAGGTTGGGGAAGGTGTATCGCTTCATGAGCTGAGGGGAGGAGAGGGGAGGAGGGGGGGGGGGGGGGGGGGGGGAGGAGGGGGGGGGAGGAGGGGGGGGGGAGGAGGGGGTGTTGGAGAAGAAAGGCGGAGGAGTGGGGAAAGTGGGCAACGGGATGCGTGTGGGTGGGGAGAGGTGGGATGCGGGGTGCGGAGTGCGGAGCAGAGAGGACCTGCGCCACCTCTGAGAGGTTGGGGAAGGTGTAGCGCTTGGGAGGGGAAGAAGGGACGTTAGTACAAAAAACGGATGGTGTGGTAAGAGGGCATGTAGGAACCAAACAAGAAAAAAAAAAACACAAAAAAAAAAAGTTGCAAATGAGGGGCTTACAATTCCACAGAAGAGGATGGCAACGATGCCTGAGAGTGCAAGGCCCTCCGCCACGAGATAGCTGAGAGGTGGTGCAGAGGGACAGGAGGCGGAGAGAGGGGTGGAGAGGGGCAAAAGGGGGCAGAGGATGGCAACGATGCCTGAGAGAGTAAGGCCCTCCGTCACGAGATAGCTGGGAGGAGGTGCAGAATGGCAGAGACCAGCGACGGGAAGAGAGGTAGAGTGGGGTTGAACGGCAGAGACAGTTATGGGACAACATACAACAGAACAACAGAGAGGGGCGGGGAAGGGTAGGGCGTTACAGGAAGGGACAGGGAGGGTATGGAGACAAAACGGGGCAAGCATGCCTGTTGTTGTACACAACGAATGGCCCAATTCAATTTTATTGAAATGCTGAATGCATCGACTCGATTTGACCATGGGCGTTACGGCAAGGGGAGGGGAGGAAGGCTCACGAGATGTAGGGGAAGAGAACGATGAGGCAGCACTCGAGGTTGTGAAGACTGTGAGCGGAAGCAAAGCGGGGAGTGGGAAGGAAGGGAGAAGAGGGGGGAGGGGGAAGTGGGCACCTTTCATGTTATAATTTGGATGTATCCAAAGGAAATCAAGGCAGGGGAGACTGTGAGAGGAACAAAAAAGGGGAAGAGGGAAGGGGAGAAGAGTGGGCCAGGAGAATGGGCACTTGGAAAAATCACGAGTGACACAGACAGCATGCGGAGTTGAGAGTTGTGGTACTAGATAAAAGGCAAGAACTCACTTCTTCACGGAGAGGCCGGCATACTTGAAGAGGTGGTGGATGGTGCTATGGTGCATGCAGGATGTGAGGCAGCGAGCAGCAAGTTGCAGATCCGTACAAGCCATAGTTCACGCTGGGGCAGAGAGGAACTCACTTCTTCACGGAGAGGCCGGCATACTTGAAGAGGTGTTGGATGGTACGCCGTATACAGCAACACACCAGGTCACACGTAGCAAAACGGCACAACGGAGTTAAGGATGGGTACAAATGGATCTTGAGTCGACTCAGAAAGAGAGCACAGAACGGTTTTCCACGAGCAACAACCAGAGCAAGTGAAGTCACGAAAACGAATGTGAGAAATCAGCAAAATCAAACGTTAATGAAGTGTGGAACGAGGATCAAGGTTATGAGAAGTCTCAAAACGTGATGTGCGGAAGAAGGCAGAGCAAGACTGAAAGGAAGATTGATAAAGGACGAGGTAAAGGAGGTTTGTGAAGGAGGAGCGAAGGGAGGTTGATAACGGAAGAGGTGGAGGGAAGATGGCAAAGGAAGGGGTGAAGGGCGTTTAGCAGGATATGAGAGCAGAGAAGAGTGCCACAGCTACACCTGCAGTGGAAACGTGGAGAAGGGCAGGGCAAAGTTGGAAGAGGGCAGAGCAAAGTTGGAAGAGGGCAGAGCAAAGTTGGAAGAGGGCAGAGCAAAGTTGGAAGAGGTCAGGGCAAAGTTGGAAGAGGGCAGAGCAAAGTTGGAAGTGGTCAGGGCAAAGTTGGAAGAGGTCAGGCAGAGATGAGGCAGCACAGGGAAAGGGAAAGGTGAGGGAAAAGTTAAGAGGCGTTTGAAGCAACCACGTATGTGGGGGAGTAGGAAAGTGATAGAACTGTGGAGAAAAACAAATCAGACGCAGAACCAATGGGTGCAGTGCAGTGCAGTGCAGTGCAGTGCTTGGTTTGAGACAAGGAGGCAATGGGACAAAGCTAAGACACATACATACATACATACATACCAATGGAGGTGGAGCCTGCAAAGGTTATGGCGGCGTATTGGAAGGCGGCAGAGATGCTTGGGTCGGCTGCAGGGTTGCGAATGATGGTCATCACGGTCCTGTGCGGTTGGAGGGGAGGGAGGAACTGACTGGTTGCGCTGATGGGCTGCGATCTGTGGTATTCATTGCCACGACCTTGTTCGTGTTGAAAGGCAAAGAGGGCGTATGGGAGGTAGAGCATGGACTTGAAATAAAGCTTGTGTAAAAGCCTCCTCCCATACGCCCTAGTTTGTGTCATCATTCTTGATCTCTTGATCCAAAGAGAAGGAATGGAGCGTGGAAGCCTTTCACAAACGACAGTGGAAGAGAATGGTACGGAACGGAGCAGCATGGAGCGTCGTTGCACGGGTTCTCTCACCTGTACATGGTAATGGCCACCTGTGGGTTGCACACATGCATACATGTGCATTTGCATGCATGCATGCATGGGCATACATGGACATACGCAGGTGTGTGCATGCCCACGCATACACATAATGGTGCGCATCCATCCATGTGCACATAAATGCATACAGCAGGGCATGTGGATGCACAGGCACAAAACGAACACCAGAACCAATGAATTGTGTCCGCATAAGCAACATACTACACTTCCAGGCTTCCAGCAAACACAGAATCAGCCATGTGGACGGGGTGAGCTGCAGTCAGGAAGTCACTTTTAGCAAAAAAAAGACAGTAGTATTAATCTGTATGTTGTACCCTGCTAAGTGCCAAGAAAATCAAGAAATCCGAACTCTGGAACCCACTGAGAGATTAAAACGCAAACACAGAATCCACAGGTTAGACAACAGACGTCTCAAACAGGGGAGTGAACTGAGAATCCTCGTATATGCGTACAGCACGGGAAGAAATGAAATAACAAAAAAGGAGAAGAAGAAAAACCACTATCATTTCCACGCGCTTTGCTCATGTGAACCAATTCTGTACACATACAATACAAACAATACGTCGATTTGTGGGTCGACTCAAAAACCAACCTTGGTCATGTGTGAACGGTGAACCGCGTCATTCAATCTTGTGAACGTACGTACTGCGTCGTTGACTCAACTTTTCCCTCTGACTTGCCAAACACAAGCGCGGTGATTTTTTTTACTTGACTCAAAAATTTGAGTAAAAAGTCACGACGTGTGTGAACCACCCACCCATACACCCACCTACCCACCCGCCCGCCCGCCCACTCGCCCGCCCACTCGCCCGCCCACTCGCCCGCCCACCCACCCACGTACGTACCGCGTCGTTGAGCACAGACTCGCCGAACACAAGCGCATAGAGATTCGTGTCTGCTCCCACGTCCTGATTGCGATGTTTGGTGGGGCGATGGAAGACGAAAGGGCCATTCAAGAGAGGGAGGAATAGTGAGGCGCCTCAGAAATAGTGACTTTTGAGGCGCCTCAAAAGGAATAGTGAGGCGCCTCAGAAATAGTGACTTTTGAGGCGCCTCAAAAGAGGCGCCTCAGAAATAGTGACTTTTGATGCGCCTCAAAAGGAATAGTGAGGCGCCTCAGAAATAGTGACTTTTGAGGCGCCTCAAAAGGAATAGTGAGGCGCCTCAGAAATAGTGACTTTTGAGGCGCCTCAAAAGGAATAGTGAGGCGCCTCAGAAATAGTGACTTTTGAGGCGCCTCAAAAGGAATAGTGAGGCGCCTCAGAAATAGTGACTTTTGAGGCGCCTCAAAAGGAATAGTGAGGCGCCTCAGAAATAGTGACTTTTGAGGCGCCTCAAAAGGAATAGTGAGGCGCCTCAGAAATAGTGACTTTTGAGGCGCCTCAAAAGGAATAGTGAGGCGCCTCAGAAATAGTGACTTTTGAGGCGCCTCAAAAGGAATAGTGAGGCGCCTCAGAAATAGTGCCTGCTCCCACGTCGTGACGCGCGCGATCATGTTGCAGAGAGAAGGGTAACTTGAGAGAGGGAGGGGTGGAAGTGAGGGGAGAAGGTGCAGACAAATGGGGCGACAAACGCAATGACAAGGTGAAGAGCCGGCAATCTGAGGAGCCACGGAGCTGTGATAAGGTGAGGAGCTGGCAGACTTCTTGTCATTCACAACCAGAGGATGCAACTGGAAGGAAGATCGCGAGGGAGGGCTTGTGTGTGGGGTCAATAGTTTGGTGGAGGAGATGAGACAAGGGCTTGTGTGTGGTGTGGGGCACTCGACTAGCAACATGCTCTAAATTCCTTCCCCAATACCCACCTGGAAGATGGCGAGGACAGCGACAGGGTCGGTGGAGGAGATGAGGTGAGGTGAGCGGCTTGTCCCTGGTGCACTACACTAACCATAACCTTCACCGCTCACAACCTTCCCCAGCACCCACCTGGAAGATGGCGAGCACAGCAACCGGGTCGGTGGAGGAGATAAGGGATCCGAAGATGAGTGCTTCGAGGAAGGAGAGCTTGTACATGAGGAAGAGGAATCCGCCCGCGTAGCTGCATTGGGGAATGGTTGGGGCACATGAGGCACATTGGAGGGCGGATGGAAGGTTGTGGTAAGTTCACATAATGGAAGGAGAGCTTGTACACGAGGAAGAGTAAAGAAGCAAGCAAGCCAGCAAGCCAGCCAGCCAGCCAGCCAGCCAGCCAGCCAGCCAGCCAGCCAGCCAGCCAGCCAGCCAGCCAGCCAGCCAGCCAGCCAGCCAGCCAGCCAGCCAGCCAGCCAGCCAGCCAGCCAGCCAGCCAGCCAGCCAGCCAGCCAGCCAGCCAGCCAGCCAGCCAGCCAGCCAGCCAGCCAGGCAGCCCCTAAAGCACTGCATGAGGATCCCGGCGGTGACAACGGCTGAAAGGAAAGTTGCTGCTGAGACATATAAAGGTGTCATGAGGATACGATGTGTCGCTTTTCCACGCTCTCTAAGGCAGGTCATAACAGCACTCAGACTAGGATCCGGGTGACGATGACTGAGAGAAAAATGTCCTTCCTTCCTGATGCGTTTCCCCAGAAGCTAACAGATGCGGCTCACACTCCCAGCTGGTTGAGATTAGTTTTGAAAATTCTCAAAACTAATCCCAAACAAAATGAGAATTCTCAAAACTAATCTCAAACAAAATGAGAATTCTCAAAACTAATCTCAAACAAAATGAGAATTCTCAAAACTAATCTCAAACAAAATGAGAATTCTCAAAACTAATCTCAAACAAAATGAGAATTCTCAAAACTAATCTCAAACAAAATGAGAATTCTCAAAACTAATCTCAAACAAAATGAGAATTCTCAAAACTAATCTCAAACAAAATGAGAATTCTCAAAACTAATCTCAAACAAAATGAGAATTCTCAAAACTAATCTCAAACAAAATGAGAATTCTCAAAACTAATCTCAAACAAAATGAGAATTCTCAAAACTAATCTCAAACAAAATGAGAATTCTCAAAACTAATCTCAAACAAAATGAGAATTCTCAAAACTAATCTCAAACAAAATGAGAATTCTCAAAACTAATCTCAAACAAAATGAGAATTCTCAAAACTAATCTCAAACAAAATGAGAATTCTCAAAACTAATCTCAAACAAAATGAGAATTCTCAAAACTAATCTCAAACAAAATGAGAATTCTCAAAAACCAGCTTGGCTCACACTCCCACCGCATTCACCTGAGGGCGCCCGTGACAATGGCTGAGCAGAAGGCGCCGAGACAGGCAATGTTGACGATGTTCTGTGCCGCTATTTCGGGCTCGTTCTTTGGCCTTAATCCTGGCACTTTAAGACGACTGACAACAAAACCCACTTCAGCACTCGCACAAGGACGCCTGTGACAATGGCAGAGAGGAAGGTGCCAGGACGGGCAAAGGTTACAAGGCCCTTCTTTACACGTTTTCCCAAACGCTCTCTTATGCGACTCAACACTCACACGAGGATGCCAGTGACAATGGCTGAGAGGAAAGTGCCGAGACATGAAAAGGTGACTATGGCTCCAAAGTTGTTGAAGAATGGCTTCTGTGTTGGGTTGGGAAGAGGGGTGGTGAGTGAGGCACGCGAGCGCACACAGAATGAGACTGACATGCAAAGGTGACTATGGCTCCGAAGTTGTTGAAAAACGGCTTCTGCGTTGGGAAGAGGGGTGGTGAGTGAGGCACGCGCGCGCACACACGAAAAGAAATTTGACAGAGGCGGAACTGTGGCTCTGACGTCGTTGAGGAATTACTTGTGTGTGCGGGCGGGAGAGGGAGGGAGCAGTGAAGAAGAGACACATGATGTGCAGTCACACTCACACACACATGCAGCATGACAGGATGGCAGCATGGCATGACTCACTCACCACTTGAAGGCTGAAGCCAGACTCAGTGCAGAGGCGAACAAGCGCCCCAGAAGCATCAACAAGCATCGCACGGCCATGAGTCATGACCAAGAACCGCGCACACCCAGGCATCAGCAGCGAGCAGTGAAGGTAAGTTAAGGACAAACAGATCGCCAGGAGATTCTTCACGAAACTTTGCATAATAACTTCGAATAGAAGAAAATAAGTACATATATGAATAAAAAGAAACAAACAAATTTGTAAGCACATTGGCAAGTCCACATGAGAAATGTTGCGGATATGGAGAGAGGATTAAAAGGCAACGGATACCTATTGAGGGTAAAAGGAGAAGGAAAGAAAAAAAGAGGTTAGGTAGGATGAGTGGGCGGATATAATATGATCGGCGGTAGGAGAAAGAGCATGAAAATCTCTTCCTTAAATCCAAGCCATTCCCTGCAGCTCAGTCCAAAGAAGCAGAGAACACAAGTAGACAGCAAAGATGGTGGAATGTGAAGGGGAAGGGCAGAGTGAGCTCATACTATAAGGGGACTGCAACTAGTCTCATCAGACAGGGGGAGCACACATGGTCAATCTATTACATGAGGTTACATGCATTTTGCCAGACGAGGAGAAAATTACAGAAATTTGAGGAGACTGCACCTGCCATAGTAACGAGGTGCCTTTTGAGTCGACTCAAAAGTCACCTAGGAGAAATTTACAGAAATTTGAGGAGACTGCACCTGGTCATTCCATGACACTACACGTACAGCCAGCCCATCACACATATTCAGTTCATCTTTTCACCTGATCCTTTGATTTGACAAACCTGACATTTCACCTGAAACTCTTCCTCCACCAACCTGCCCTCTCACCCGAAGCTTCCCCCCCATCAAGCTGCCCTCCATAACTTCCCCTCCCTTCCCACCTTGCCCGCTCACCTTGCCCTCTCACCTGAAGCCTTCCCCCCACCAACCTGCCCCTTACCTGACCTCTCCCTTGCCAACCCGCCAGCCCTCTCACCTGAAGCTCTCCTGAGTGCCTCGCCAGTTGCCCACGGAGCCCACCACGAGGCCTGGCATTGGCACAAGGGGTTGAACGGAGTGGAGGCAGCAGTACACGTTACAACCAACGATCAGACCGACAGAGACGCAGGGACGCTCAGACACACAGACGCACAGCCGCACAGACGCAGTGCGTGCAAACAAACAAGCAAGTACTAGTAGAATGAGCTCCCAGTTAACGCGCCAATGAGCAGGGCGGCGCTGGCCTCGTGGATGTAGTACACCTTGCGACCAGACGGACAGACAGACAGAAACGCAGAGACTCAGAGATGCAGAGGCACACCGACTCACACACGCACCAATGAGCAGGGCGGCGCTGCCCTCGTGGATGTAGTACACCTTGCGACGTCGCAGGATATGTCCGACGACGAATGCGACCATGAGCATGGCGATCTGCAGCAGAATCGACAGGCTCGCGAACGCCTCCGCTTTCGTCGACGACACTGGCGGAGCTGGCGCGCCCGCCATGGCGGAAGATAGGCTGGCGGAGCCGTCGGCGGAAGCAGAAGGGGCGGCGGCGGGGTGCGCGGATGCGAACAGGGGGAACTCTTTCATCTGACGAGTGGAGTCGAGGAGGGGAAGGCCGAGCACACCATTGGCGCCGAGATCAACGGTGGGATCGGTGCTTAGAGCGGCCAGGAACAACATCGACGGTGGAAATCGCAAGTTGGAAAATGAACCGAGCCGGTGGAAATAAGGTGATCTAGTCGCGACGCGTGTGAGCTACACTCCCCATTCAGAGCCTACTGCGCTAGTAAGCGCAGCGGTTATTTCTAAAGAACGAACTAGGATGTAATTTATATTCACTAAACGCCTGAAGAGAGGACGATAGCTCCCGTATCTTGGACACGCGGGGTCGGGCCGCGCCCCCTACTAGTAGCCCGTAACGCCAAGACGGTGAATACGTGTGAGAGGATGTTTACAGAAACAAGACGACGATAATGAAGCTGAATCGGCCCAAGCTGACGAGTAATCCGGAAGCTAGTTGGGTCGCTAACTGAAGCTAACGCGGTCGACGAGGTGTGCAAGAAACAGGCCTCCTTCACGAGAACGACTATCGAGAATCCATCAACATCAAATGAAATAGCAGAACACAAATTCAACGGTCCAATCAAGAAAGAGGGCTAGGAGGAGGAACAAGAGTTGCGGTTTCGGCGACAACGATTGAAATCCGAAATGGTTACCGGGGTTGCCGAAACCGGGATTTTCCATGACGACTCTCGCTGAAACACCAGCAGGTTGCGCTTTTGGCTTCCCTCTCATATTCTGGAAACAGGATCTGGACCGTTCAAGATGTAACTTCTCCGCGCAGATGGGAATCCGACCTGTCGTGAACAAACACAAGGGAGCGATATGATTGGTTCTCAGAAGGAGAGCCTAGAAAAAGGCTGACAATCGTTATGGTAACACCCCATAGAATACTTTCCAATTTTCAATAGATATGATTGCCTCTCTTCTGAAGTTGCCTACTTGTGTATTTCTGTTTCGGTTTTTTATTTATTTAGTTCTTCCAGTACAGACCTGGAGGTTACATTCATCCATAGCGTGCTTGCCTGTATCGAGGTTACTCAACCTTGTTGCGCCACCACCCTTCCCTCCGTGTATGCCGCCATTTGCGCACCTCCTTTTTCCCGCCATTTGCGCAATTCCTTTCTTCCGCCATGGCCAGGAGCCGGGCGTTCAGCAATGTCGCGAGGCGGCTCGCGCTTGGCTTCACAAATTCCCAGAGGTTCTCCGCACCGCCTTCGCTCCCACAGTTAGTGTCTCACGCTGGATCTGCGACATTGGTAACTCCTCAGCTCCATTTCGCCAACGACTCGCATGCTAGGCTGCACACTCACTCTTCGCCGGCTCTCCCTATCGTGTCTCCAAATCCCACAACCTCCGCCTCGTTACTGTCACACAATCCAGCAGCTCGCGTCCAACCACCGTTACTATCACACCATCCCCTATCACGCGGATTTGCCGGGATATTAGTCGAGCTGGGTCTCGTCCCTCCTCCGCCAGACCACGGCGAAGAGGAGGCGCGGAAAAAGGAGGTAATTAAAGCCGTCCTTAGGCCCGGGTCGGGCAAGATCCAAGCTAAGAAGGAGCGGCGATTAGGGAGAATACCGAGCATAGTCTTCGAGCAGGAGGACGGGCATCTGGGCGGCCGAAAACGGCTGGTGTCCGTCGATCGCAAGCAGATCGGACGGCTGGTGAAGAAGTTCGGGCGGCCGTTCTTCGTGTCGCAGGTGTTCGACCTCGAGATTGCCGCGGAGGGCGCGGAAGCGGCGGAAGGGGAGGCGGCGGGAGCGGAGGGGGTGCCGGAAGAATCAACGGTTGAGAGTGTCCGGATGAGAGTGATTCCGAAGCTGGTAAGTGCCTGTACCTTTTCGGATTCCACTGGTTTTTTAAATTATCATAAGTGCCTGCATTGTTCCTTCCATTAAGTCTTATCCGCTTCTCCTATCTGCACTTGCAACTCACATCCCCCGTCGCCCGCGTCCCTCCCTTGCCGTGAGAAATACTTCCCTCCCCCCCACTCCCACCCACAACACCCCCCCCCCCCCTCTCTCCCCCCCTCTCCCCTCTCCCCTCTCCCCTCTCCCCTCTCCCCTCTCCCCTCTCCCCTCTCCCTCTCCCCTCTCCCTCTCCTCTCCCCTCTCCCCTCTCCCCTCTCCCCTCTCCCCTCTCCCCTCTCCCCTCTCCCTCTCCCCTCTCCCCTCTCCCCTCTCCCCTCTCCCCTCTCCCCTCTCCCCTCTCCCTCTCCCCTCTCCCTCTCCCCTCTCCCCTCTCCCTCTCCCTCTCCCTCTCCCTCTCCCCTCTCCCTCTCCCCTCTCCCCTCTCCCCTCTCCCCTCTCCCCTCTCCCTCTCCCCTCTCCCCTCTCCCCTCTCCCCTCTCCCCTCTCCCCTCTCCCCTCTCCCCCTCCCCTCTCCCCTCTCCCCTCTCTCCCCTCTCCCCTCTCCCCTCTCCCCTCTCCCTCTCCCCTCTCCCCTCTCCCCTCTCCCTCTCTCCCCTCTCCCTCTCCCCTCTCCCTCTCCCCTCTCCCCTCTCCCCTCTCCCTCTCCCCTCTCCCCTCTCCCCTCTCCCCTCTCCCCTCTCCGCTCTCCCCTCTCCCCCTCTCCCCTCTCCCCTCTCCCCTCCCTCTCCCTCTCCCCTCTCCCCTCTCCCCTCTCCCTCTCCCCTCTCCCCTCTCCCCTCTCCCCTCTCCCCTCTCCCCTCTCCCCTCTCCCCTCTCCCCTCTCCCTCTCCCCTCTCCCCTCTCCCCTCTCCCCTCTCCCCTCTCCCCTCTCCCCTCTCCCTCTCCCTCTCCCTCTCCCCTCTCCCTCTCCCCTCTCCCCTCTCCGCTCTCCCCTCTCCCCTCTCCCCTCTCCCCTCTCCCCTCTCCCCTCTCCCCTCTCCCCTCTCCCCTCTCCCCTCTCCCCTCTCCCCTCTCCCCTCTCCCCTCTCCCTCTCCCCTCTCCCCTCTCCCCTCTCCCCTCTCCCCTCTCCCCTCTCCCTCTCCCCTCTCCCCTCTCCCCTCTCCCCTCTCCCCTCTCCCCTCTCCCCTCTCCTCTCCCCTCTCCCCTCTCCCCTCTCCCCTCTCCCTCTCCCCTCTCCCCTCTCCCCTCTCCCCTCTCCCCTCTCCCCTCTCCCCTCTCCCCTCTCCCCTCTCCCCTCTCCGCTCTCCCCTCTCCCCTCTCCCCTCTCCGCTCTCCCCTCTCCCCTCTCCCCTCTCCCCTCTCCCCTCTCCCCTCTCCCCTCTCCCCTCTCCCCTCTCCGCTCTCCCCTCTCCCCTCTCCCCTCTCCCCTCTCCCCTCTCCCCTCTCCCCTCTCCCCTCTCCCATCTCCCCTCTCCCCTCTCCGCTCTCCCCTCTCCCTCTCCCCTCTCCCCTCTCCCCTCTCCCTCTCCCCTCTCCCTCTCCCCTCTCCGCTCTCCCCTCTCCCCTCTCCCTCTCCCCTCTCCCCTCTCCCCTCTCCCCTCTCCCCTCTCCCCTCTCCCCTCTCCCTCTCCCCTCTCCCCTCTCCCCTCTCCCCTCTCCCCTCTCCCCTCTCCCCTCTCCCCTCTCCCTCTCCCCTCTCCCCTCTCCCCTCTCCCTCTCCCTCTCCCCTCTCCCCTCTCCCCTCTCCCCTCTCCCCTCTCCCCTCTCCCCTCTCCCCTCTCCCCTCTCCCTCTCCCTCTCCCCTCTCCCCCTCTCCCCTCTCCCCTCTCCCTCTCCCTCTCCCCTCTCCCCTCTCCCCTCTCCCCTCTCCCCTCTCCCCTCTCCCTCTCCCCTCTCCCCTCTCCCCTCTCCCCTCTCCCCTCTCCCTCTCCCCTCTCCCCTCTCCCCTCTCCCTCTCCCTCTCCCCTCTCCCCTCTCCCCTCTCCCTCTCCCCTCTCCCCTCTCCCCTCTCCCCTCTCCCCTCTCCCCTCTCCCCTCTCCCCTCTCCCCTCTCCCCTCTCCCCTCTCCCCTCTCCCCTCTCCCCTCTCCCCTCTCCCTCTCCCCTCTCCCCTCTCCCTCTCCCTCTCCCCTCTCCCCTCTCCCCTCTCCCCTCTCCCCTCTCCCCTCTCCCCTCTCCCCTCTCCCCTCTCCCCTCTCCCCTCTCCCCTCTCCCCTCTCCCCTCTCCCCTCTCCCCTCTCCCCTCTCCCCTCTCCCCTCTCCCCTCTCCCCTCTCCCCTCTCCCCTCTCCCCTCTCCCCTCTCCCCTCTCCCCTCTCCCCTCTCCCCTCTCCCTCTCCCCTCTCCCCTCTCCCCTCTCCCCTCTCCCTCTCCCCTCTCCCCTCTCCCATCTCCCCTCTCCCCTCTCCGCTCTCCCCTCTCCCCTCTCCCCTCTCCCTCTCCCCTCTCCCCTCTCCCCTCTCCCCTCTCCCCTCTCCCCTCTCCCCTCTCCCTCTCCCCTCTCCCCTCTCCCCTCTCCCCTCTCCCCTCTCCCCTCTCCCCTCTCCCTCTCCCCTCTCCCCTCTCCCCTCTCCCCTCTCCCCTCTCCCCTCTCCCCTCTCCCCTCTCCCCTCTCCCCTCTCCCCTCTCCCCTCTCCCCTCTCCCCTCTCCCCTCTCCCCTCTCCCTCTCCCTCTCCCCTCTCCCCTCTCCCCTCTCCCCTCTCCCCTCTCCCCTCTCCCCTCTCCCTCTCCCCTCTCCCCTCTCCCCTCTCCCCTCTCCCCTCTCCCCTCTCCCCTCTCCCCTCTCCCCTCTCCCCTCTCCCCTCTCCCCTCTCCCCTCTCCCCTCTCCCCTCTCCCTCTCCCTCTCCCCTCTCCCTCTCCCCTCTCCCCTCTCCCCTCTCCCCTCTCCCCTCTCCCCTCTCCCCTCTCCCCTCTCCCCTCTCCCTCTCCCCTCTCCCCTCTCCCCTCTCCCCTCTCCCCTCTCCCTCTCCCCTCTCCCCTCTCCCCTCTCCCCTCTCCCCTCTCCCCTCTCCCCTCTCCCTCTCCCTCTCCCCTCTCCCCTCTCCCTCTCCCCTCTCCCCTCTCCCTCTCCCTCTCCCCTCTCCCCTCTCCCCTCTCCCTCTCCCCTCTCCCCTCTCCCCTCTCCCCTCTCCCCTCTCCCCTCTCCCCTCTCCCCTCTCCCCTCTCCCCTCTCCCCTCTCCCCTCTCCCCTCTCCCCTCTCCCCTCTCCCCTCTCCCCTCTCCCTCTCCCCTCTCCCCTCTCCCCTCTCCCCTCTCCCCTCTCCCCTCTCCCCTCTCCCCTCTCCCCTCTCCCCTCTCCCCTCTCCCCTCTCCCCTCTCCCCTCTCCCCTCTCCCCTCTCCCCTCTCCCCTCTCCCTCTCCCTCTCCCCTCTCCCCTCTCCCCTCTCCCTCTCCCTCTCCCTCTCCCCTCTCCCCTCTCCCCTCTCCCCTCTCCCCTCTCCCCTCTCCCCTCTCCCCTCTCCCCTCTCCCCTCTCCCCTCTCCCCTCTCCCCTCTCCCCTCTCCCCTCTCCCCTCTCCCCTCTCCCCTCTCCCCTCTCCCCTCTCCCCTCTCCCTCTCCCCTCTCCCCTCTCCCTCTCCCCTCTCCCCTCTCCCCTCTCCCCTCTCCCCTCTCCCCTCTCCCCTCTCCCCTCTCCCCTCTCCGCTCTCCCCTCTCCCCTCTCCCCTCTCCCCTCTCCCCTCTCCCTCTCCCCTCTCCCTCTCCCCTCTCCCCTCTCCCCTCTCCCCTCTCCCCTCTCCCCTCTCCCTCTCCCCTCTCCCCTCTCCCTCTCCCTCTCCCCTCTCCCCTCTCCCTCTCCCCTCTCCCCTCTCCCCTCTCCCCTCTCCCCTCTCCCTCTCTCCCTCTCCCCTCTCCCTCTCCCCTCTCCCCTCTCCCTCTCCCCTCTCCCCTCTCCCCTCTCCCCTCTCCCCTCTCCCCTCTCCCTCTCCCTCTCCCCTCTCCCCTCTCCCCTCTCCCCTCTCCCCTCTCCCCTCTCCCCTCTCCCCTCTCCCCTCTCCCTCTCCCCTCTCCCCTCTCCCCTCTCCCCTCTCCCCTCTCCCCTCTCCCCTCTCCCCTCTCCCCTCTCCCCTCTCCCCTCTCCCCTCTCCCCTCTCCCTCTCCCCTCTCCCTCTCCCCTCTCCCCTCTCCCCTCTCCCCTCTCCCCTCTCCCTCTCCCCTCTCCCCTCTCCCCTCTCCCTCTCCCCTCTCCCCTCTCCCCTCTCCCCTCTCCCCTCTCCCCTCTCCCCTCTCCCCTCTCCCCTCTCCCCTCTCCCTCTCCCCTCTCCCCTCTCCCTCTCCCCTCTCCCCTCTCCCCTCTCCCTCTCCCTCTCCCCTCTCCCCTCTCCCCTCTCCCCTCTCCATCTCCCCTCTCCCCTCTCCCTCTCCCCTCTCCCCTCTCCCCTCTCCCCTCTCCCCTCTCCCCTCTCCCCTCTCCCCTCTCCCCTCTCCCCTCTCCCCTCTCCCCTCTCCCCTCTCCCCTCTCCCCTCTCCCCTCTCCCTCTCCCCTCTCCCCTCTCCCCTCTCCCCTCTCCCCTCTCCCCTCTCCCCTCTCCCCTCTCCCCTCTCCCCTCTCCCCTCTCCCCTCTCCCCTCTCCCCTCTCCCCTCTCCCCTCTCCCCTCTCCCCTCTCCCCTCTCCCCTCTCCCCTCTCCCCTCTCCCCTCTCCCTCTCCCCTCTCCCCTCTCCCCTCTCCCCTCTCCCCTCTCCCCTCTCCCCTCTCCCCTCTCCCCTCTCCCCTCTCCCCTCTCCCCTCTCCCCTCTCCCCTCTCCCCTCTCCCTCTCCCCTCTCCCCTCTCCCCTCTCCCCTCTCCCCTCTCCCCTCTCCCCTCTCCCCTCTCCCCTCTCCCCTCTCCCCTCTCCCCTCTCCCCTCTCCCCTCTCCCCTCTCCCCTCTCCCCTCTCCCCTCTCCCCTCTCCCCTCTCCCCTCTCCCCTCTCCCCTCTCCCCTCTCCCCTCTCCCCTCTCCCTCTCCCCTCTCCCTCTCCCCTCTCCCCTCTCCCCTCTCCCTCTCCCCTCTCCCCTCTCCCCTCTCCCCTCTCCCCTCTCCCCTCTCCCCTCTCCCCTCTCCCCTCTCCCCTCTCCCCTCTCCCCTCTCCCCTCTCCCCTCTCCCCTCTCCCCTCTCCCCTCTCCCTCTCCCCTCTCCCTCTCCCCTCTCCCCTCTCCCCTCTCCCCTCTCCCCTCTCCCCTCTCCCCTCTCCCCTCTCCCCTCTCCCCTCTCCCCTCTCCCCTCTCCCCTCTCCCTCTCCCCTCTCCCCTCTCCCCTCTCCCCTCTCCCCTCTCCCTCTCCCCTCTCCCCTCTCCCCTCTCCCCTCTCCCCTCTCCCCTCTCCCCTCTCCCCTCTCCCCTCTCCCCTCTCCCCTCTCCCCTCTCCCCTCTCCCCTCTCCCCTCTCCCCTCTCCCCTCTCCCCTCTCCCCTCTCCCCTCTCCCCTCTCCCCTCTCCCTCTCCCCTCTCCCTCTCCCTCTCCTCCCCTCTCCCCTCTCCCCTCTCCCCTCTCCCCTCTCCCCTCTCCCCTCTCCCCTCTCCCTCTCCCCTCTCCCCTCTCCCCTCTCCCTCTCCCCTCTCCCCTCTCCCCTCTCCCCTCTCCCCTCTCCCCTCTCCCCTCTCCCTCTCCCCTCTCCCCTCTCCCCTCTCCCCTCTCCCTCTCCCCTCTCCCCTCTCCCCTCTCCCCTCTCCCCTCTCCCCTCTCCCCTCTCCCCTCTCCCTCTCCCTCTCCCCTCTCCCCTCTCCCCTCTCCCCTCTCCCTCTCCCTCTCCGCTCTCCCCTCTCCCCTCTCCCTCTCCCCTCTCCCCTCTCCCCTCTCCCCTCTCCCTCTCCCTCTCCCCTCTCCCCTCTCCCCTCTCCCCTCTCCCCTCTCCCCTCTCCCTCTCCCTCTCCCCTCTCCCCTCTCCCCTCTCCCCTCTCCCTCTCCCCTCTCCCCTCTCCCCCTCTCCCCTCTCCCCTCTCCCCTCTCCCCTCTCCCCTCTCCCCTCTCCCCTCTCCCCTCTCCCCTCTCCCCTCTCCCCTCTCCCCTCTCCCCTCTCCCTCTCCCCTCTCCCCTCTCCCTCTCCCCTCTCCCCTCTCCCCTCTCCCCTCTCCCCTCTCCCCTCTCCCCTCTCCCTCTCCCCTCTCCCCTCTCCCCTCTCCCCTCTCCCCTCTCCCCTCTCCCCTCTCCCCTCTCCCCTCTCCCCTCTCCCCTCTCCCCTCTCCCCTCTCCCTCTCCCCTCTCCCCTCTCCCCTCTCCCCTCTCCCTCTCCCCTCTCCCCTCTCCCCTCTCCCCTCTCCCCTCTCCCCTCTCCCCTCTCCCCTCTCCCCTCTCCCCTCTCCCTCTCCCCTCTCCCCTCTCCCCTCTCCCCTCTCCCCTCTCCCCTCTCCCCTCTCCCCTCTCCCCTCTCCCCTCTCCCCTCTCCCCTCTCCCCTCTCCCTCTCCCCTCTCCCCTCTCCCTCTCCCCTCTCCCCTCTCCCCTCTCCCCTCTCCCCTCTCCCCTCTCCCTCTCCCCTCTCCCCTCTCCCCTCTCCCTCTCCCCTCTCCCTCTCCCTCTCCCCTCTCCCCTCTCCCCTCTCCCCTCTCCCCTCTCCCCTCTCCCCTCTCCCCTCTCCCCTCTCCCCTCTCCCCTCTCCCCTCTCCCCTCTCCCCTCTCCCCTCTCCCCTCTCCCCTCTCCCCTCTCCCCTCTCCCTCTCCCCTCTCCCCTCTCCCCTCTCCCCTCTCCCCTCTCCCCTCTCCCCTCTCCCCTCTCCCCTCTCCCTCTCCCCTCTCCCCTCTCCCCTCTCCCCTCTCCCCTCTCCCTCTCCTCCCCTCTCCCCTCTCCCCTCTCCCCTCTCCCCTCTCCCCTCTCCCCTCTCCCCTCTCCCCTCTCCCCTCTCCCCTCTCCCCTCTCCCCTCTCCCCTCTCCCTCTCCCCTCTCCCCTCTCCCCTCTCCCCTCTCCCCTCTCCCCTCTCCCCTCTCCCCTCTCCCCTCTCCCCTCTCCCCTCTCCCCTCTCCCCTCTCCCCTCTCCCCTCTCCCTCTCCCTCTCCCCTCTCCCCTCTCCCCTCTCCCCTCTCCCCTCTCCCCTCTCCCCTCTCCCCTCTCCCCTCTCCCCTCTCCCCTCTCCCTCTCCCCTCTCCCCTCTCCCCTCTCCCCTCTCCCTCTCCCCTCTCCCCTCTCCCCTCTCCCCTCTCCCTCTCCCCTCTCCCCTCTCCCCTCTCCCCTCTCCCCTCTCCCCTCTCCCCTCTCCCCTCTCCCTCTCCCCTCTCCCCTCTCCCCTCTCCCCTCTCCCCTCTCCCCTCTCCCCTCTCCCTCTCCCTCTCCCCTCTCCCCTCTCCCCTCTCCCCTCTCCCCTCTCCCCTCTCCCTCTCCCCTCTCCCTCTCCCCTCTCCCCTCTCCCCTCTCCCTCTCCCCTCTCCCTCTCCCTCTCCCCTCTCCCCTCTCCCCTCTCCCCTCTCCCCTCTCCCCTCTCCCCTCTCCCCTCTCCCCTCTCCCTCTCCCCTCTCCCCTCTCCCTCTCCCTCTCCCCTCTCCCCTCTCCCTCTCCCCTCTCCCCTCTCCCTCTCCCCTCTCCCCTCTCCCCTCTCCCCTCTCCCCTCTCCCCTCTCCCCTCTCCCCTCTCCCCTCTCCCTCTCCCCTCTCCCCTCTCCCTCTCCCCTCTCCCCTCTCCCCTCTCCCCTCTCCCCTCTCCCCTCTCCCCTCTCCCCTCTCCCCTCTCCCCTCTCCCCTCTCCCCTCTCCCCTCTCCCCTCTCCCTCTCCCCTCTCCCCTCTCCCCTCTCCCCTCTCCCCTCTCCCCTCTCCCTCTCCCCTCTCCCCTCTCCCCTCTCCCCTCTCCCCTCTCCCCTCTCCCTCTCCCTCTCCCCTCTCCCCTCTCCCTCTCCCCTCTCCCTCTCCCCTCTCCCCTCTCCCCTCTCCCTCTCCCTCTCCCCTCTCCCCTCTCCCCTCTCCCCTCTCCCCTCTCCCCTCTCCCCTCTCCCCTCTCCCTCTCCCCTCTCCCCTCTCCCTCTCCCCTCTCCCCTCTCCCCTCTCCCCTCTCCCCTCTCCCCTCTCCCCTCTCCCCTCTCCCCTCTCCCCTCTCCCCTCTCCCCTCTCCCCTCTCCCCTCTCCCCTCTCCCCTCTCCCCTCTCCCCTCTCCCCTCTCCCTCTCCCCTCTCCCTCTCCCTCTCCCCTCTCCCTCTCCCTCTCCCCTCTCCCCTCTCCCTCTCCCTCTCCCTCTCCCTCTCCCCTCTCCCCTCTCCCCTCTCCCCTCTCCCCTCTCCCTCTCCCTCTCCCCTCTCCCCTCTCCCCTCTCCCCTCTCCCCTCTCCCTCTCCCCTCTCCCCTCTCCCCTCTCCCCTCTCCCCTCTCCCTCTCCCCTCTCCCCTCTCCCCTCTCCCCTCTCCCCTCTCCCCTCTCCCCTCTCCCTCTCCCCTCTCCGCTCTCCCCTCTCCCCTCTCCCCTCTCCCCTCTCCCCTCTCCCCTCTCCCTCTCCCCTCTCCCCTCTCCCCTCTCCCCTCTCCCCTCTCCCCTCTCCCCTCTCCCCTCTCCCCTCTCCCCTCTCCCCTCTCCCCTCTCCCCTCTCCCCTCTCCCCTCTCCGCTCTCCCCTCTCCCCTCTCCCCTCTCCCCTCTCCCCTCTCCCCTCTCCCCTCTCCCCTCTCCCCTCTCCCCTCTCCCCTCTCCCCTCTCCCCTCTCCCCTCTCCCCTCTCCCCTCTCCCCTCTCCCCTCTCCGCTCTCCCCTCTCCCCTCTCCCCTCTCCCCTCTCCCCTCTCCCCTCTCCCCTCTCCCCTCTCCCCTCTCCCCTCTCCCCTCTCCGCACCTCCATCCCCTCCCCTTTCTGTGCATCTCTTAGTCGCATGCCTCTTTAACTTCTGGATTTTTTTTTTAATTATTTTGACTCTGTTATCATTTTTCATGCCTCCTTTGTGGCTTAGTCCAACCCCCCTCCCCGCTCCCTCCCTCCCTATCCTACACCCCTTGTCCCCCGCTGCCTCTTCAAACACCTCCTTTCCCCGTTTTGCAGCTTCCGTCTTCGTAGCTTTTATTCCCATCCCCCTCCCCACTCCCTTTACTACACCCCCTGTCCCCCTGCTGCCTCTTCTCCTGTTCCCATTTTCCCACTCGAGTATCCAATCCAAGCTTAGCTGCCACATACAAAGATGTCCCATCCCTGCCCCATCCTCCTCCTATCCTCCCCGCATCCTGACCCCATCCTGCCCCCATCGTCCCCCCATGCTCCCCCCATCCTCCCCCCATCCTCCCCCCATCCTCCCCCCATCCTCCCCCCATCCTCCCCCCATCCTCCCCCCATCCTCCCCCCATCCTTCCCCCATCCTCCCCCCATCCTCCCCCCATCCTTCCCCCATCCTCCCCCCATCCTCCCCCAATCCTCCCCCCATCCTCCCCCCAACCTCCCGTCGCAGGTGCACTCGCATGGAGCTACGGACGAGAAACTCAACGTGACTCCCCTTCCCCTTATCCTACCACGCGTTTCCCCCGATGCCATCTTCCCCCCGTTCCGTTTCCCCCAATGCCATCTTCCCCCCGTTCCGTTTCCCCCCTATCCTGTTCCGCCTTCTGACCAGGTGCACTGGCATGGAGCAACGGACGAGGTTCTCAACGTGGCTCCCTTCAGCCCCACAACCTCCTCCCCTGCTTCCCCCATCCTCCCCACATCCCCCCCCCCCCCCTCCATCCTCCCCCCAACCTCCCGTCGCAGGTGCACTGGCATGGAGCTACGGACGAGATTCTCAACGTGACTTTTCTCAAGCTGCCCGAACGCGAAAGCGCACGAGTTAAAGTGCCCGTGCCTTTGGTTTTTGTGGGCGAGGATGCCTGCCCGGGCATTAAAAAAGGTCAGTGGGGCATGACATGGCTATAGCAGGGCAGGGCATGGCAGGGCAGGACATGGCAGGGCATGGCAGGGCAGGGCATGGCAGGGCAGGGCATGGCATGGCAGGGCAGGGCATGGCAGGGCAGGGCATGGCAGGGCAGGGCATGGCAGGGCAGGGCAGGGCATGGCATGGCAGGGCAGGGCATGGCAGGGCAGGGCATGGCATGGCAGGGCAGGGCATGGCATGGCAGGGCAGGGCATGGCAGGGCAGGGCATGGCAGGGCATGGCATGGCAGGGCATGGCATGGCAGGGCAGGGCATGGCAGGGCATGGCAGGGCATGGCATGGCAGGGCATGGCATGGCAGGGCATGGCATGGCAGGGCAGGGCATGGCAGGGCATGGCAGGGCAGGGCATGGCAGGGCAGGGCAGGGCAGGGCAGGGCATGGCAGGGCAGGGCATGGCAGGGCATGGCATGGCATGGCAGGGCAGGGCATGGCAGGGCAGGACATGGCAGGGCAGGGCATGGCAGGGCATGGCAGGGCAGGACATGGCAGGGCAGGGCATGGCAGGGCATGGCAGGGCAGGGCATGGCAGGGCAGGGCATGGCAGGGCAGGGCATGGCAGGGCAGGGCATGGCAGGGCAGGGCATGGCAGGGCAGGGCATGGCAGGGCATGGCATGGCAGGGCAGGGCATGGCATGGCAGGGCAGGGCATGGCAGGGCAGGGCATGGCAGGGCATGGCATGGCAGGGCATGGCATGGCAGGGCATGGCAGGGCATGGCAGGGCATGGCATGGCAGGGCATGGCATGGCAGGGCATGGCATGGCAGGGCAGGGCATGGCAGGGCATGGCAGGGCAGGGCATGGCAGGGCAGGGCAGGGCAGGGCAGCGCATGGCAGGGCAGGGCATGGCAGGGCATGGCATGGCATGGCAGGGCAGGGCATGGCAGGACAGGGCATGGCAGGGCAGGGCATGGCATGGCATGGCATGGCAGGGCAGGGCATGGCAGGGCAGGGCATGGCAGGGCATGGCATGGCATGGCAGGGCAGGGCATGGCAGGGCATGGCATGGCAGGGCATGGCATGGCAGGGCATGGCATGGCAGGGCAGGGCATGGCAGGGCATGGCAGGGCAGGGCATGGCAGGGCAGGGCATGGCAGGGCAGGGCATGGCAGGGCAGGGCATGGCAGGGCATGGCATGGCAGGGCAGGGCATGGCAGGGCAGGGCAGGGCAGGGCATGGCAGGGCATGGCATGGCAGGGCATGGCATGGCAGGGCAGGGCATGGCAGGGCATGGCAGGGCATGGCAGGGCAGGGCATGGCAGGGCAGGGCATGGCAGGGCAGGGCATGGCAGGGCAGGGCATGGCAGGGCAGGGCATGGCAGGGCATGGCATGGCAGGGCAGGGCATGGCAGGGCAGGGCATGGCAGGGCAGGGCATGGCAGGGCATGGCATGGCAGGGCATGGCATGGCAGGGCAGGGCATGGCAGGGCAGGGCATGGCAGGGCATGGCATGGCAGGGCATGGCAAGGCAGGGCATGGCAGGGCAGGGCATGGCAGGGCAGGGCAGGGCAGGGCAGGGCAGGGCAGGGCAGGGCATGGCAGGGCATGGCATGGCAGGGCATGGCATGGCAGGGCAGGGCATGGCAGGGCAGGGCATGGCAGGGCAGGGCATGGCAGGGCAGGGCATGGCAGGGCAGGGCATGGCAGGGCATGGCATGGCAGGGCATGGCATGGCAGGGCAGGGCATGGCAGGGCATGGCAGGGCAGGGCATGGCATGGCAGGGCATGGCATGGCAGGGCAGGGCATGGCAGGGCAGGGCATGGCAGGGCATGGCAGGGCAGGGCATGGCAGGGCAGGGCATGGCAGGGCATGGCATGGCAGGGCATGGCATGGCAGGGCATGGCATGGCAGGGCATGGCAGGGCAGGGCATGGCAGGGCAGGGCATGGCAGGGCATGGCAGGGCATGGCATGGCATGGCAGGGCATGGCAGGGCATGGCAGGGCAGGGCATGGCAGGGCATGGCAGGGCAGGGCATGGCAGGGCAGGGCATGGCAGGGCATGGCAGGGCATGGCATGGCATGGCAGGGCATGGCAGGGCATGGCAGGGCAGGGCATGGCAGGGCAGGGCATGGCAGGGCAGGGCAGGGCAGGGCAGGGCAGGGCATGGCAGGGCAGGGCATGGCAGGGCAGGGCATGGCAGGGCATGGCATGGCAGGGCAGGGCAGGGCATGGCAGGGCAGGGCATGGCAGGGCATGGCATGGCAGGGCAGGGCAGGGCATGGCAGGGCAGGGCATGGCAGGGCATGGCAGGGCATGGCATGGCAGGGCATGGCATGGCAGGGCATGGCAGGGCAGGGCATGGCATGGCAGGGCATGGCATGGCATGGCAGGGCATGGCATGGCAGGGCATGGCATGGCAGGGCATGGCATGGCAGGGCATGGCATGGCAGGGCATGGCAGGGCAGGGCATGGCATGGCAGGGCATGGCAGGGCAGGGCAGGGCAGGGCAGGGCAGGGCAGGGCAGGGCAGGGCATGGCAGGGCATGGCATGGCAGGGCAGGGCATGGCAGTGCATGGCATGGCAGGGCAGGGCATGGCAGGGCAGGGCATGGCAGGGCAGGGCAGGGCAGGGCATGGCAGGGCATGGCATGGCAGGGCATGGCATGGCAGGGCAGGGCATGGCAGGGCATGGCAGGGCAGGGCATGGCAGGGCAGGGCATGGCAGGGCAGGGCATGGCAGGGCAGGGCATGGCAGGGCAGGGCATGGCAGGGCATGGCATGGCAGGGCAGGGCATGGCAGGGCAGGGCATGGCAGGGCAGGGCATGGCAGGGCATGGCATGGCAGGGCATGGCATGGCAGGGCAGGGCATGGCAGGGCAGGGCATGGCAGGGCATGGCATGGCAGGGCATGGCAGGGCAGGGCATGGCAGGGCAGGGCATGGCAGGGCAGGGCAGGGCAGGGCAGGGCAGGGCAGGGCATGGCAGGGCAGGGCATGGCAGGGCAGGGCATGGCAGGGCAGGGCATGGCAGGGCATGGCATGGCAGGGCATGGCATGGCAGGGCAGGGCATGGCAGGGCAGGGCATGGCAGGGCATGGCAGGGCAGGGCATGGCAGGGCAGGGCATGGCAGGGCAGGGCATGGCAGGGCAGGGCATGGCAGGGCATGGCATGGCAGGGCAGGGCATGGCAGGGCAGGGCATGGCAGGGCATGGCATGGCAGGGCATGGCAGGGCAGGGCATGGCAGGGCAGGGCATGGCAGGGCAGGGCAGGGCAGGGCAGGGCAGGGCAGGGCAGGGCAGGGCAGGGCATGGCAGGGCAGGGCATGGCAGGGCAGGGCATGGCAGGGCAGGGCATGGCAGGGCAGGGCATGGCAGGGCATGGCATGGCAGGGCATGGCATGGCAGGGCAGGGCATGGCAGGGCAGGGCATGGCAGGGCAGGGCATGGCAGGGCAGGGCATGGCAGGGCAGGGCATGGCAGGGCATGGCATGGCAGGGCATGGCATGGCAGGGCAGGGCATGGCAGGGCAGGGCATGGCAGGGCAGGGCATGGCAGGGCATGGCATGGCAGGGCATGGCATGGCAGGGCAGGGCATGGCAGGGCAGGGCATGGCAGGGCATGGCAGGGCAGGGCATGGCAGGGCAGGGCAGGGCAGGGCAGGGCAGGGCATGGCAGGGCAGGGCATGGCAGGGCAGGGCATGGCAGGGCAGGGCATGGCAGGGCATGGCATGGCAGGGCATGGCATGGCAGGCATGGCAGGGCATGGCAGGGCATGGCAGGGCAGGGCATGGCAGGGCAGGGCATGGCAGGGCAGGGCAGGGCAGGGCAGGGCAGGGCAGGGCATGGCAGGGCAGGGCATGGCAGGGCAGGGCAGGGCATGGCAGGGCATGGCATGGCAGGGCATGGCATGGCAGGGCAGGGCATGGCAGGGCAGGGCATGGCAGGGCAGGGCATGGCAGGGCAGGGCATGGCAGGGCAGGGCATGGCAGGGCATGGCATGGCAGGGCATGGCATGGCAGGGCAGGGCATGGCAGGGCAGGGCATGGCAGGGCAGGGCATGGCAGGGCATGGCATGGCAGGGCATGGCATGGCAGGGCAGGGCATGGCAGGGCAGGGCATGGCATGCCCTCTGCACCACGCCCTCTGCACCACGCCCTCTGCACCACGCCCTCTGCACCACGCCCTCTCCACCACGCCCTCTCCACCACGCCCTCTCCACCACGCCCTCTCCACCACGCCCTCTCCACCACGCCCTCTCCACCACGCCCTTTTTGCATCTGGAAGGAATGGCTCCTCCCTTCTACCCTTCAATAAGTGGTTGGCTCTACACCATGCTTCGCACCCTTTTGAGGCGCCTCAAAGACACCATGCTTCGCACCCTCCCCGTCTCTAGTGCTTTGCCTCTTTCCCTGCCGCCTACAATCCTCTTCTTTCATATCTGCTCTCCCTCATCCCTCCATTCTGCCCGTGCCAAGCGATTGGCTCTACACCATGCAACGCACTCTCCCATTCTCCTGCCCTCCCCTTTTTTTTTTATCCACTCTCTTCTTCCTGCTTCAAATGAGTTTCTCCCTCATCCCTCTCTTTCTCCCACACCCCTCCCCATCTCCCCTCCCACGCGGTTGCCTCTAGCTCTACACCATGCGTCACACAGTCCCCTTCTCCTACGCCCTACCCTTTCTTTCACCGTCTCCCTCCCTCCACCCTGCTCCTGCCATGCCGTTGGCTCTACACCATGCGTCGCACCCTCCCTTTCTCCTGTCTTTTCCTGTTTTCTTTCTTCTGTCTTCGTTTTCCTTGATCCCCTTCCCCCTTCTCCCACCCCCTTCCCCATCTCCCCTCCCAGGTGGTTGGCTCTACGCCATGCGCCGCACCCTCTCCTTCTCCTGTGCTTCCCCGCTTCCCGTTCTTTCAGTTTTGTTCTTCCTTATAAACTACATTTCCCCCCCCCAACCAGGTGGTTGGCGCGACGCCATGCTTCGCACCCTCCCCTTCTCCTGCCCGCCCTCCGCCATCCCCCTATTCGTGAAGGGCTGTCACCGTTGGCTGGGCCTGGTGGCTGCTCTATCTCTCCTCACTCTCCCTCATCCCCCTCTTCTCCCACTCCCTTCCCCCATCTGCCCCCCCCAGGTGGTTGGCTCTACACCATGCGTCGCACCCTCCCCTTCTCCTGCCCCCCCTCCGCCATTCCTCCTTTCGTGGAGGTGGATCTGTCTGCATTGGATGTGGGCCACAAGATCACCCTTGCTGACGTGGCAAGGCAGGTGGATCCGCGGCTCAGATTGCTCCTGGCAGATGTGTCTCACCCCGTCTGCAAGATAGCTGGCAGCCGGTCATTGGCCAAGGAAGCAGCGCCTGCTTAGTCCACCATACATTATATACTGAAACATTTAACTAGGTAGGAACCCAGCACTAGTTGCATATAAAGCTTTGCGCTTGTGTCTCATCTCACTCTGTTTGCAAGATAGCTGGCAGCCGGTCATCTCACTCTGTTTGCAAGATAGCTGGCAGCCGGTCATCTCACTCTGTTTGCAAGATAGCTGGCAGCCGGTCATCTCACTCTGTTTGCAAGATAGCTGGCAGCCGGTCATCTCACTCTGTTTGCAAGATAGCTGGCAGCCGGTCATCTCACTCTGTTTGCAAGATAGCTGGCAGCCGGTCATCTCACTCTGTTTGCAAGATAGCTGGCAGCCGGTCATCTCACTCTGTTTGCAAGATAGCTGGCAGCCGGTCATCTCACTCTGTTTGCAAGATAGCTGGCAGCCGGTCATCTCACTCTGTTTGCAAGATAGCTGGCAGCCGGTCATCTCACTCTGTTTGCAAGATAGCTGGCAGCCGGTCATCTCACTCTGTTTGCAAGATAGCTGGCAGCCGGTCATCTCACTCTGTTTGCAAGATAGCTGGCAGCCGGTCATCTCACTCTGTTTGCAAGATAGCTGGCAGCCGGTCATCTCACTCTGTTTGCAAGATAGCTGGCAGCCGGTCATCTCACTCTGTTTGCAAGATAGCTGGCAGCCGGTCATCTCACTCTGTTTGCAAGATAGCTGGCAGCCGGTCATCTCACTCTGTTTGCAAGATAGCTGGCAGCCGGTCATCTCACTCTGTTTGCAAGATAGCTGGCAGCCGGTCATCTCACTCTGTTTGCAAGATAGCTGGCAGCCGGTCATCTCACTCTGTTTGCAAGATAGCTGGCAGCCGGTCATCTCACTCTGTTTGCAAGATAGCTGGCAGCCGGTCATCTCACTCTGTTTGCAAGATAGCTGGCAGCCGGTCATCTCACTCTGTTTGCAAGATAGCTGGCAGCCGGTCATCTCACTCTGTTTGCAAGATAGCTGGCAGCCGGTCATCTCACTCTGTTTGCAAGATAGCTGGCAGCCGGTCATCTCACTCTGTTTGCAAGATAGCTGGCAGCCGGTCATCTCACTCTGTTTGCAAGATAGCTGGCAGCCGGTCATCTCACTCTGTTTGCAAGATAGCTGGCAGCCGGTCATCTCACTCTGTTTGCAAGATAGCTGGCAGCCGGTCATCTCACTCTGTTTGCAAGATAGCTGGCAGCCGGTCATCTCACTCTGTTTGCAAGATAGCTGGCAGCCGGTCATCTCACTCTGTTTGCAAGATAGCTGGCAGCCGGTCATCTCACTCTGTTTGCAAGATAGCTGGCAGCCGGTCATCTCACTCTGTTTGCAAGATAGCTGGCAGCCGGTCATCTCACTCTGTTTGCAAGATAGCTGGCAGCCGGTCATCTCACTCTGTTTGCAAGATAGCTGGCAGCCGGTCATCTCACTCTGTTTGCAAGATAGCTGGCAGCCGGTCATCTCACTCTGTTTGCAAGATAGCTGGCAGCCGGTCATCTCACTCTGTTTGCAAGATAGCTGGCAGCCGGTCATCTCACTCTGTTTGCAAGATAGCTGGCAGCCGGTCATCTCACTCTGTTTGCAAGATAGCTGGCAGCCGGTCATCTCACTCTGTTTGCAAGATAGCTGGCAGCCGGTCATCTCACTCTGTTTGCAAGATAGCTGGCAGCCGGTCATCTCACTCTGTTTGCAAGATAGCTGGCAGCCGGTCATCTCACTCTGTTTGCAAGATAGCTGGCAGCCGGTCATCTCACTCTGTTTGCAAGATAGCTGGCAGCCGGTCATCTCACTCTGTTTGCAAGATAGCTGGCAGCCGGTCATCTCACTCTGTTTGCAAGATAGCTGGCAGCCGGTCATCTCACTCTGTTTGCAAGATAGCTGGCAGCCGGTCATCTCACTCTGTTTGCAAGATAGCTGGCAGCCGGTCATCTCACTCTGTTTGCAAGATAGCTGGCAGCCGGTCATCTCACTCTGTTTGCAAGATAGCTGGCAGCCGGTCATCTCACTCTGTTTGCAAGATAGCTGGCAGCCGGTCATCTCACTCTGTTTGCAAGATAGCTGGCAGCCGGTCATCTCACTCTGTTTGCAAGATAGCTGGCAGCCGGTCATCTCACTCTGTTTGCAAGATAGCTGGCAGCCGGTCATCTCACTCTGTTTGCAAGATAGCTGGCAGCCGGTCATCTCACTCTGTTTGCAAGATAGCTGGCAGCCGGTCATCTCACTCTGTTTGCAAGATAGCTGGCAGCCGGTCATCTCACTCTGTTTGCAAGATAGCTGGCAGCCGGTCATCTCACTCTGTTTGCAAGATAGCTGGCAGCCGGTCATCTCACTCTGTTTGCAAGATAGCTGGCAGCCGGTCATCTCACTCTGTTTGCAAGATAGCTGGCAGCCGGTCATCTCACTCTGTTTGCAAGATAGCTGGCAGCCGGTCATCTCACTCTGTTTGCAAGATAGCTGGCAGCCGGTCATCTCACTCTGTTTGCAAGATAGCTGGCAGCCGGTCATCTCACTCTGTTTGCAAGATAGCTGGCAGCCGGTCATCTCACTCTGTTTGCAAGATAGCTGGCAGCCGGTCATCTCACTCTGTTTGCAAGATAGCTGGCAGCCGGTCATCTCACTCTGTTTGCAAGATAGCTGGCAGCCGGTCATCTCACTCTGTTTGCAAGATAGCTGGCAGCCGGTCATCTCACTCTGTTTGCAAGATAGCTGGCAGCCGGTCATCTCACTCTGTTTGCAAGATAGCTGGCAGCCGGTCATCTCACTCTGTTTGCAAGATAGCTGGCAGCCGGTCATCTCACTCTGTTTGCAAGATAGCTGGCAGCCGGTCATCTCACTCTGTTTGCAAGATAGCTGGCAGCCGGTCATCTCACTCTGTTTGCAAGATAGCTGGCAGCCGGTCATCTCACTCTGTTTGCAAGATAGCTGGCAGCCGGTCATCTCACTCTGTTTGCAAGATAGCTGGCAGCCGGTCATCTCACTCTGTTTGCAAGATAGCTGGCAGCCGGTCATCTCACTCTGTTTGCAAGATAGCTGGCAGCCGGTCATCTCACTCTGTTTGCAAGATAGCTGGCAGCCGGTCATCTCACTCTGTTTGCAAGATAGCTGGCAGCCGGTCATCTCACTCTGTTTGCAAGATAGCTGGCAGCCGGTCATCTCACTCTGTTTGCAAGATAGCTGGCAGCCGGTCATCTCACTCTGTTTGCAAGATAGCTGGCAGCCGGTCATCTCACTCTGTTTGCAAGATAGCTGGCAGCCGGTCATCTCACTCTGTTTGCAAGATAGCTGGCAGCCGGTCATCTCACTCTGTTTGCAAGATAGCTGGCAGCCGGTCATCTCACTCTGTTTGCAAGATAGCTGGCAGCCGGTCATCTCACTCTGTTTGCAAGATAGCTGGCAGCCGGTCATCTCACTCTGTTTGCAAGATAGCTGGCAGCCGGTCATCTCACTCTGTTTGCAAGATAGCTGGCAGCCGGTCATCTCACTCTGTTTGCAAGATAGCTGGCAGCCGGTCATCTCACTCTGTTTGCAAGATAGCTGGCAGCCGGTCATCTCACTCTGTTTGCAAGATAGCTGGCAGCCGGTCATCTCACTCTGTTTGCAAGATAGCTGGCAGCCGGTCATCTCACTCTGTTTGCAAGATAGCTGGCAGCCGGTCATCTCACTCTGTTTGCAAGATAGCTGGCAGCCGGTCATCTCACTCTGTTTGCAAGATAGCTGGCAGCCGGTCATCTCACTCTGTTTGCAAGATAGCTGGCAGCCGGTCATCTCACTCTGTTTGCAAGATAGCTGGCAGCCGGTCATCTCACTCTGTTTGCAAGATAGCTGGCAGCCGGTCATCTCACTCTGTTTGCAAGATAGCTGGCAGCCGGTCATCTCACTCTGTTTGCAAGATAGCTGGCAGCCGGTCATCTCACTCTGTTTGCAAGATAGCTGGCAGCCGGTCATCTCACTCTGTTTGCAAGATAGCTGGCAGCCGGTCATCTCACTCTGTTTGCAAGATAGCTGGCAGCCGGTCATCTCACTCTGTTTGCAAGATAGCTGGCAGCCGGTCATCTCACTCTGTTTGCAAGATAGCTGGCAGCCGGTCATCTCACTCTGTTTGCAAGATAGCTGGCAGCCGGTCATCTCACTCTGTTTGCAAGATAGCTGGCAGCCGGTCATCTCACTCTGTTTGCAAGATAGCTGGCAGCCGGTCATCTCACTCTGTTTGCAAGATAGCTGGCAGCCGGTCATCTCACTCTGTTTGCAAGATAGCTGGCAGCCGGTCATCTCACTCTGTTTGCAAGATAGCTGGCAGCCGGTCATCTCACTCTGTTTGCAAGATAGCTGGCAGCCGGTCATCTCACTCTGTTTGCAAGATAGCTGGCAGCCGGTCATCTCACTCTGTTTGCAAGATAGCTGGCAGCCGGTCATCTCACTCTGTTTGCAAGATAGCTGGCAGCCGGTCATCTCACTCTGTTTGCAAGATAGCTGGCAGCCGGTCATCTCACTCTGTTTGCAAGATAGCTGGCAGCCGGTCATCTCACTCTGTTTGCAAGATAGCTGGCAGCCGGTCATCTCACTCTGTTTGCAAGATAGCTGGCAGCCGGTCATCTCACTCTGTTTGCAAGATAGCTGGCAGCCGGTCATCTCACTCTGTTTGCAAGATAGCTGGCAGCCGGTCATCTCACTCTGTTTGCAAGATAGCTGGCAGCCGGTCATCTCACTCTGTTTGCAAGATAGCTGGCAGCCGGTCATCTCACTCTGTTTGCAAGATAGCTGGCAGCCGGTCATCTCACTCTGTTTGCAAGATAGCTGGCAGCCGGTCATCTCACTCTGTTTGCAAGATAGCTGGCAGCCGGTCATCTCACTCTGTTTGCAAGATAGCTGGCAGCCGGTCATCTCACTCTGTTTGCAAGATAGCTGGCAGCCGGTCATCTCACTCTGTTTGCAAGATAGCTGGCAGCCGGTCATCTCACTCTGTTTGCAAGATAGCTGGCAGCCGGTCATCTCACTCTGTTTGCAAGATA